AAGAGAAGGTTTGGTGAATTTTATCAAGGGGAAAGACATTATTGCTCTTCTTCCTACAGGATTTGGTGCATTACATACGTCACAACCAAACAGCAGCGATTGGTTACATTAAAAAAGTACCCGCCTACCGTTGTGCGAACGAATCCTAATGCTGGTTTCCACGAAGTAAATCGGCTGATGAATCAGGCTATCTCACATTAACTTCTGACCCTTCGTTTAAAAATACTCTGGTTCAATATTTCCATATCCCGTGTAATTGTTTTTGATCATTTTGTTGAATTTTGTTGTTCATCTTGTTGTATTTTGTGACTATATTTGAACTCTGTATTAGTTTTTGTTCAAATTTTATTTATTATGTGTCTAACAGTCAAGTGTTAATGTGCAGGACACTTTTGGGGTGTTTAAAGTTCACACTGGAGGTCACACACAAGTCGCATTTAACTGGAAATGTGAACAACCTCGCAAAATAAATTGGATTTCACAAAAAATGTGAAGTCTGAACATGGCCTTAGACTTTAATCTGAGTTGTTTTTTTTTAACACAATCTTACCATAAAGAACTGACCTAGCTGGAACTACAACAGATGAGATGATTTGTGGTGTTAAACAAGACATAAACATACATATAGAACACCCCAAGCTTGATGTAATATCCTCCAGCAGAGTGTCATTGGGCGCAGCGCTGGAGGATGAGTATAGAGAACAAATTTCAATTTTATAGCCTACCCACCACTGCACCACAGCTAAAACGTGAGCATTGTTGGCGATACAAACCGCGTGTGAATATAGCTTTCCCGTCTATGTACAGAAACCATAAATCCGCCTCAGCCTCTGGTGCAGACAGGCAGACTGCGCAGTGCTTCCAGATGGACCGCTCACACTTCACAATGAGAAGGAGCCGGTCTGTGCTGAGTGCCAGAGCTGTGTGTCTGCCACCACATCAAAGCCCCCGCACAGACCTCTGAACGGCTGATTTATGAGGAGTTACTGGGAAGTACTCAGTTAGATTTACTCTATTTCCTTTATTTATTATTAATTTGAACATTTGTCAAAACAAAAATTAAAAAAAGACAAACCAAAAGTCAGTCAAGTTCAGTTTCATCAGTATACTTGAGTTACTTTTTGAAGGAATTGTACTTGAGTAAAAGTGTTAAAAAGTAAAAAACTATGAGAAATCTGTAAGTTAACAATATTTTTAGATTTAAAGAGCCCATATTACGATAATGTTTTCTATGTTATAATGTGTTTTCCCATCACAAACAAAGCTGGAGTGGGGTTTTATTTCATTCACACATTTTTTATTTATTTATTTTTTAGTTCAATATGTCCTGAAAATGAAGCCAGAGATTTAAAGCTGTTTCTGTTTTAAATGTTTCCAAAAATGGTCAATTTTGGCTGTTTTTTCACATAAAATGCCTTTATATATGAAAATAATACATTTCTTACATTCATGTGAGGAAACTACAGGAGAAGTTTCAAAATAATATTTCCAAATTTAAGATTTTTTCCTATTCACCTGTTTTTTTCTGTTTTGTAAGTGCAACTACGATTCTGAGAGTCAAAAGAAGTGGCATAAGGCTAAGTTCTAACAGTTTGGCAGTGCTTCCATTGTAGGGAGTATTATACCTCTGATGACGTAGTAGTCTGAGATTTAAAAGACGAGGCCTAAGACTGGACTTCTAACAGGTTATTGGAGTTTTTTTTATTTTTTTATTTACTGAATCCTCAAGACACTGTGATACTGTTGTCCATGCCAGTCTAGTACAGTTTAATCTGGCAAACCTTACATTGTAGGGAGTATTATACCTCTGGTGACGTGGTCTGAGAGTTAAAAGAAGAGTCATAAGGCTGGATTTCTAAAAGTTTATTGGAGTTTTTAACTTAACTCTCAAGACATTGTGATAGTGTTGTCCATGCCAGTCTAGTACAGTCAAATCTGGCAATCCTTCCATTGTAGGGAGTATTATACCTCTAATAATATAGTAGTCTGAGATTTAAAAGAAGAGGCATAAGGCGGGATTTCTAAAAGTTTATTGGATGTTTTTTAACTGAACCTTCAAGATACTGTGATAGTGTTGTCCATGCCAGTCTAGTACAGTCAAATCTGGCAGCCCTTCCATTGTAAGGAGCATTATACCTCTGATGATGTAGTAGTCTGAGAGTTAAAAGAAGAGGCATACGGCTGGAATTCTAGCAATTTATTGAAGTTTTTTTTAACTGAACCCTCAAGATATTGTGTTAGTGTTGTCCATGCCAGTCTAGTGCAGTCCAGTGTGGCAATCCTTCCATTGTAGGGAGTATTATACCTCTGAAGACATAGAACCTAGGTCAAGGTAACAAGGATTTTTTTTTTTTTTTTTTTTTTTTTACACCGTGCACAGTGCCATTCAAATCAGTTTTATTTTATCCGTATCAGTCTAGTGCAGTCCAGTCTTGCAATTTTTCCATTGTAGGGAGTATTATACCTCTGATGACATAGGCCAAAATAACAAGGACTTGCGGAATTTTACACCGTGCACAGTATCAATCATATTTGTTTTATTTTGTCAGTATATTTGGGTTTATATATGTTCTCAGTCTACTTTGAGTTCAAACACAAAGAACATGTTTTGGTGACCTATGTCTAAAAATAAAGCAAACGATTTCAGGCAAAGTGTGGAAACTTTGAATAACATCTCCAAGCAGGTGACCGACCCTCTACCCAAACGTTACACAGTGCACCAACATAAACGACTAAAATAGTGTATTTTTCCACTTCTGGTTGGAACAAACAGCATTTCTTCTGCCCAATATAACTTCTGTGGCAGAGGATTTGAGCCATATCATTAGGAAACATTGCAAATCATAAGATACAAACTCCAGAGTGTGCATGGAAATCTTGTAAATAAAGTTAAAGACATATCATTACCTCAGCTGACACATTCACCTCTGTGTCCATGTATTCTGGTTATAATTGAGTCATTAAGGCTGACCATAATGTGCACTTTTTCCTTATTCTTTTGCATTTTTGGATGTGATTTCAGGACACACCTTGGACCCGGGCAGGTGCTGGATTTATATAATGGTTTTTGGCAGAGTGATTAATGAATTATGACAGTGATAATGAGAGGTGTGTCCAACAGCTAAAATAATATTACTAATTTTAAAAAGGTGCACTGTGCAACTTTTCTGGGTTTTCTGTGACGGAGATTTTATTGCTTTGTCTGAAATGTTTCACAGTGTGGCATTAAACTTTTCTATCTTCATGGAGACCAAACCAGACCAAGTTACAGATCAGGTCTGTGGAGAGGCGACCCCGCTCACCGTCAGAATGCATGTTTTTCTAGGTATTTTAAGCAATAAAACTACAGGCAGTTGAATAAATGTAAGGTAGAGCTGTTTAATGTCACACTGTGGAACATTCCATAAAGCCTACAGTAAATATCTTCATGCGAAATGTTATAAAATATGGTTAACTTTCTGTTTCCATAAATGAATCTTGCAGGTGGAGTGCCACCTCCAGAAAGTTACACACTGTACTTTAAAAAATACACAATGAACTTGAAGTGACAAAATTAATTAATTAAATAATCACTGTATTTATATAGCGCCTTCAAAGATAACCAAAGCACTTTACAGTTCATTATTCATTCGCTCCACACTCTGTGGTGGTAAACTGTTATTGTTGCCACAGCTGCCCTGGGGCAGGCTGACGGAAGTGAGGCTGCCAATCTGCACCATTGGCCCCTCCGACCACCACCAACACTCACACACACACCACTTTCATACTAGGCAATGTGGGTGAAGTGTCTTGCCTAAGGACACAACGAAAGTTTTAGCCACTGACGCCCCCCTGTGGCAACTGGAATTCCCAGTGTCTCCCATCCAAGTACTAACCAGGCCCAGCCCTGCTTAGTTTCTGAGATCTGACGGGATCAGGCTTTGACAAGCCGGTATGGTCATGACATATTTTGAAAAGTATACTGGAACCACTTAGAAATACTTACATGTTGCTATTTAAAATGCACAAAGTAACTTTCATGGTGGAACGTTATGATAGGGTCACTAGACGTCCCTATTTACCCAGGTCCCAGTTTTGAGCCCTGTGTCCCTTGTCCCAGCAGATTTGTCCAAAACCAGTGGTTTATCTCAGTTTTATACAAGAAATGTCCCATGTGTCCTTATTTTTTACCCATCTGATACGTGCAGCAGTAAAGAGAGGCATAAATTGTCATTTGTTTAGGTAAAATACAGAAAAGCTGCTTAGAAATGACCAAAACACAAAGAAAATGTGACTATACTGACTCACATTAGTGCCAAGTGCATAGCAATTTTCATTAATTGCGCATTTGTTTCACAATTTTATTACTCTCTGGAAATGTTAATGCTTTGTCTGAATGTTCCTTTAACCTTGCCCGAAAGATGAATTCTTACGATTTTTGTGACTTCAAAAACTTCTCAGGTTGTTCACTCACAGAGCAGCCAAACCCATCCACCAGAAATGTCCCACAGTGCACCTTTAGATCAGGCGTCACTTTATCCTCCACAAACCTAAACCTGTTACATTTTTACCCCGTCTGATATTAATACCATCACGTGCAGACTAGGTTAGGGCTTTTGCTATTTCCAGGCCTGCAAACCCGTAAACACACAGAGCAGAGGGACTCAAGATGGCCGCCCGTGCTGGCTCTGGTCATCTCGCTGCCCACAGATGGTTTCTATGTTAAACACGAGGGCCCGGTGAGGGAAGACATGTCCCCAAAAGCTCTTCTCCACCTCCTCCTCCTCCTCCGGGCTCTTCACAGCTGTGGACCGGCCCCAGACAGCCGCCAACGAAAGCGCTATGCTCGCTTTTTATCATTTTAGAAGCAGTTATTTACGCAGTGTTGTTTTTGCTCAGTGGAAAAGTGTCTCGTCCAGAAGAGAGGATCCGTGAAGGGACTTAGTTAAAATGATACTGTTTGATGTGGAGAAATGATTGGGTTTCAGACTAGACTGAATAAATATATATGAGACTGTAAAAGTGGTTCAAAATGTTATGTACTCGTTATGGAATTATACATAGAGAAAAAAAGAAAGTCAAAGATGTGTCCTGATATGTGGCAAAGTTCAAATCAAATACATTTTAGGATAATCAAAGTATCAACAATCAGACACTAAACGATACAAAAACTAGTCTCGAAACTAGATACTTGTTTAAGCAAATATCAATACTACAAAGTCCCATTGATAGAACAGAAATTAACCTTTCCTGAATAGTTTTACAATGATCTTGAGCTGTATCAGAAAAAGTATAAGAGCACACAGACGAGTTTACGCCCATTGGTCAACACATGTAGGTGCTGTAAAGTCATGGAAAATTCACTTTAGGTCATGAAAAAGTCATGGAAAAGTTATGAAATTTTGTTAGTGAAAAAGAGTGGGAACCCTGTGAGAATCGAGTCTATTCTTTATAGTATAGAAATTGAGTTTCAAATGTTAGTATCATGACAACATTATTGCTGATAACCATTGCAATCCTGGTTTATTCTTAGTTACACACAAAAACTTATGACCTGATGGCCAAGTTCTTTATGTTAAAATTTTGTGTTTTTGTTCTCAGAAAGCAGAATCCAGACCTCCACAGATCTGACCTGTAACTTGGCCTGCTTGTTTCAACAGGCTCTATTCATGTGAAACATGCGATGACAATTTCTGGTGTATTTCCCGACACTGGGCTCGCTGACCGACTGTGATAAAACCCACTGAAGTAAATGTGATCAGTGGGGAAATGAAGACCGCATACAGTATGTATGTGCTGTTTGGAATCATCTTGAATTGGCGCCTCATCTCTTCTAATCACATGTACCCAGTGCACTCTGAGGTGTGCGTCAGTGGGGAAATGATGAAAATTGAGGTATGATTGTAATTGTTGATTTTCCAAACATAACAGAACACTACAATGACATGGAGATGAGCATTGGACACAATCTCACAGCTAACTGTAAGAGGGTTCGAATAGGTTCTATTCAGGCTTATGTCACAAACCAGGAAGACGTTTGGAAACATGCGCTGACACTTCCAGTGTAGTTCTGGACAGTGGGCTCGCCGACCAACTGTGATAAAACCAATTGAAATGTGATAAAACCATGGATTCTGCAACCTTTAGCAGCAGTCTTCATAATGTGGAACTCTAATTGCACCTTCAATCTGTGGATTATCGGAGTTGTGCGTCAGTGGGGAAATGATTAAAAACTGAGGTATGGTTGTAACTGTTGATAACATAACGGAACGCGACAATGACATGTAGATGAGGAAAACTCGGCCATTTTCTTATTTTAACTAGATTTTGTCAGACTTACTACCACGAACAGAGCCCGCCACAAGTTGTCATTGCATGTTTCCAATCATCTTCCTGGTTTGTGATGTAAGCATGAATACAGCTTATAGGGCCCAGGAGAGATCACTAAATTACTCAAACATGCATGGATGACATATAAAACCTCTTCAGGCATGCTTTTGATGAGGAGACGTTATAATAATATCTTTAAGTAAGATATTGCTAACCAGTTACTAATTAAAATCCCACAACATGAGCAGAGAATCTTCCAGCTGCTTTTACTGCAACTGCAAGTACTACTGTCTTACCACTGTGACTCAACTCTGAACCTCTCACATGAACACATTACATTTGAAGTTTAAGTACACGGTCACTTGACGCTACCGGGTACAGAGCATGTGGGGGGTGCAGCGGCAGAGTCGTTAGCACAGTCCAGGTGCAGCAGACCACCAGGGGGCGTGCGCACGAAAAGAGGCGTGGTCACAGGTTTGAGGCACGCCTTACACGGTTGTTTCCCGTCCAGTTTCAACACGGCGTCTGAGGCCTGGATCTGTGAATGAGACAAGAGAGAGGTAAAGTAAGACATCGCAATTTCACCATGTTTTTTTGTTTGTTAATGATGCTGTACTTGATTTTTACCATTTTAAAATGTGAAAAACATAACAAGTTCATTCTAAATAGTGTGCAGAGGTCCAAAGTTATTCCTCACTTACCTTTAAAGTATCCTAATTATTCACCCCAATGGGTTCATAAGCTTTTGACATGTTTTAGAGACTAAAGCGGATTTTGCCATGACGATAATGCTAACAACAGCAACTAGCATGTTAAGCGCGCACTAAAACTTTTTTTAATTAGAGGCAGATATTACACAACAGGCTTATTCTGATCAAGAGCTGCTTATACAATATATCTGTACTAGAGTAAGACAGATTCAGCTCAATTACATGAGGAAAAATGGGTATATGGTCTTTAAAAGTCCCCAGTTATACTAAAATACATGTTATTTTCTTTTGCTTTAATCAATTATATCACGTTTCATCATAAGTAGTATTTTGTTTTGAACTTGGGGATATTCATCACTGGCCTGAGCAGTCAGAAGGGGCTAAAAAACGGACAATAGAGCATGAAAAACCTCTGTCCAAATGAGAAAATTCAATCACAGCTGGTAATTTGTAGTAGCCAGACTGGTGCCACCTAGTGCCTCTGCTCAATTTCATTTTTCTCCAGCGACTAGGTCAGGAATCAGAATTCACTAGACGGTTTGCAAGAACCCCAGAATTTGTAGACCGAGGTCGAGATGGATGTAGACGAAGCCAGACAAGCTGTGATGGCAACAAATCCTGAGAGCGAGGATTTAAAGTCGGAACAAAGAGATTGTTTGGGGAATTTTATCAAGGGGAAAGACGTTATTGTCCTTATTCCTATGGGATTTGGCGCATTACATATGTCACGACCAAATAGCAGCAATTGGTTAAATAAAAAGTACCCACCTACCGTCGAGCAAACGAATCCTAATGCTGCGAGGTCAGATGGTTTCCACAAAGTGAAACCAGCTGAATTTTTAGCACGTGTCCCTCAAATATGGAAGTCATTTAGAAATTTCTCGTATCATTCAGAACAAAATTCTTCTACCTGAGATAAGTAATAGTTTGGTGCTTCGATTGTTGATTCTGCAAAAGTCTGTGTTGTTTCCCAGTCCTTCATGTTGTTTTTTCCCCATTTTGATCTGTAAAATGTCATGTTTGTATTTGACGCAAACGGAAGATTGGTCTCTCTGGACTGGTTAATTCCCCTGTCAATCAAAGATCCACTTTTGAAAAGTTTGAAAACATTTTTTCAAAGTTCTTGCTGGACAGGTAACAGAATCAGATAAATGACATGTATAGTAATTGGAGACTAAAGTGTTTTTCTATAAACACAACATTTTAAATGACCAAACCCCCAACCCAAGTAGCTAGATAAAAAATAGTAGTAGGTCTAGCAGGTTTCAGCTTTGACTTACCCAGAATGCCTTGTGCCTGAGTAGCCGTGAATGCTCCAAAGCTCTCTCCACTCTCTTCATACGACTCTGGTGGAACATCTCCCTCATGGACCCGACCAGAAACCCCGAGAGGAGCTGTATGGACCAAGACTCAGGCAGGACCTCCAGAACCTTCTCCCCTGACAGCTGCTGGGGGTATTTCTGCAGCAGGTCCAGGGCGGCCGGAGAGTGCCCCTCGCTGGTTAAGTAGATGTGGAGCAGGTGGAGTAGAGGTTCCTGTGTGCTCTGGAGGTTCTTGTTTGTGGAGAGCCTACAGCAGAAGTCCTCAGCAGCTGCGGGGTCTGGACAGTCGTGGACGAGCAGACTCAGGGCTCCTCGGTGGTCCCCGGTACGAGCCAGAAGAACGGCCTTCTCGATGTGCAGAGCTGTGGGTTTGACGTGATCTGGAAGACAGTGGAGTTTGGGTTGAATGATACTTTGCAGCTGATGTCCTCAACATTCCCTGGAGGTTTGATGCTAACTGTAAGCACTGTTCTGTCTGAAGTTTTGTTGGACTTCAATCTCATCTTTATTTTCAAACAATTTGACCAGAAAGAGCTGGAACTACAACAGGTGACATGATTTGTGTGTGAAACAAGTCTCTCACTTATAAAATTACACATAGTATAATAATATAATAAGTAGTAATTACTCTCACATTTTTCTTGAAAATCAAACATGTAAACACGACAATGACCGTTTTTCAGTTTTCAGACAATCTTAAAACTTTTTTGACAGTAAGTGCTGAACATTCCACCATAGAGATACATGTATGACACCCCCAGTGTGATGTCACTGCAAAGTATCGATAGGTTGTGTTGATGTGATATCACAGCACTCTAGTTGAACATGACGATGAAGAAGGATGAACGATGTGTGACTTCTGTAATATAAGTTCATAATTATCTCTATTAAAATCGACTCTTGAGAGTTTTAAGTCATGTTAGAATGCGGTTACCTGCTCAAAAACCTACCCAGTGTTGTGTTTTGTTTCATTCACACATGTTTGAGTAATCCTGCATTAAACTGTCTACATCTCCAAAGCTCAAAATTCTCTATTCCACCCTGTGATGTCATGAAGTTTTAAGTTAACAGCTAAGTTTTACATTTTAAGTAGAGACTGGCAATTCCAAGGTTATGGTTTTTGGCCCTAGCTCCCTAAATTGTTCTTTTTCTGTGGACCTGGATTCATTAAATCATTTAGTGAAGCCAGTGGTTACAAACTTAGGTGTCAAAATGGACCCAGATCTAAAATTTGATCAGTAAATTAGTGCTTTTGTAAAATCTTGTTTTTTCCAGCTAAGACAACTGGCCAAAATTAAGCCTATTTTGTCAACACAACACTTCAGAACTGTCATACATGCATTTGTGATGACTAGATTGGATTATTATAATGCACTTTATGTTGGTGTTAGCCAAAATGCACTTTCCCAACAGGTCCAGAACTCAGCGGCTCAACTTTTAACTGGAACCCGGAAACGCGAGAGCATCTCACCTATTTTAGCTTCTCCCCACTGGCTCCCAGTGTCTTTTAGAGTTGATTTTAAAATTCTTTTATTTACTTTTAAGTGTTTGCACGGCCTAGCGCCCTCCTACCTCACTGACTTGATCCACCCTTATGTCCCCTCTCACACACTCACTTCTGCAGACCAACTCCAGCTCGCCGTCCCAAAGACTAAACGTTGCTTCGTGGGGACCATGCATTTTCTGTTTCTGCCCCATGGCTCTGGAACCAGTTACCATTAGAGCTTAGACAGGCCGAGTCTGTACTTGTTTTTAAATCAGTCCTAAAAGCGCACGTTTTTTCACTCGCTTTTAATAAGTGACATGTATATTTCTTGTTGAGTATATTACTGTTTTTCTATGTTTTTAGTAGCTGTATTGTATGTGTACCATATATTTTCTTCTACTGCGATTGTCATTGTCTGTCCTGTGTTTGTGTACAGCACTTTGGCGTACTGTAAAGTTTTTAAAGTGCTTTATAAATAAAGTTGGTATGGTATGGTATGGTAATTCCAGGGCTGAAATGATCCAAATGAGTCTAGTGAAAGTGTATGGAGTTTAAAAACGCAGTGACGGACTTCCTTTATTACCACATGACATCGCAAGGTGGGACAGAGTGTTTTCTGTTTGAGAGAAGTAATATGTAGGGTTTGTGTGTGTGAATGAAACAAAACACAACTCCAGGTATGTTTGTGATGAGGGAACATTATGACAGAGATATGGGACCTTTAAATATTGTTTTATAGTCTCTTTTAATGCAGTTGTTTTACATTATTATGTGCAGAACTTTGAAAACTGTTGTGTTTATAAAATGTACTTTACAAATAATGTTGGACTGGATTAGAATTGAACTTTTAGATCATTTAACATGGCACTCAGGCTCTCTGTGGCATAAGGATAATTGTCAGAGGCTTCAAAAGTTCAGTTCTCTTTCTCCAGCAGTGGAACCTTCAGCCTCATCAGCCTCTTTAGCTACTAGTACTCCTCCTCACATTTTCCCAACAAATCTGTCATTTCTCTCTCTTATAATGATTTTTATTTGCACATGGAATAACAAAAAATACTATAAAAATATGATGAAATCTGACCATACACAGCTGAGACATCATAACGCTGTGACTCCCATAGAAGGTCCTGTAGTTTCCCTCTGGTCTCCGTGTCCTCTTGGCTCTGCAGGCTCTGGGACACATACGCCAGGGCCAGGTGGGTGTGATGCCCCGCCTCCTGCAGCACAAACCACCAATCACATTTCACTCGTTTTATTCGGGGGTCTATGGAGCTCAACAGCCGACGGGCAACTCTGGACTCACATTTACAAGTAAGGAACTGTGTGTAGTCTGTGATCTTACCACAATCGCAACGAACAAACTCCATCTCCGAAATAAAGTCCACAAAACTGAAATAATCATTATCGGCCCCAAAACACTCACCAAAATTCACAATAACTTCACCCTCTCCATTGACGGCTCCTCAGTCCCCTCCTCCTCCCACCTCTGTAACCTTGGCATCTTCTTTGACCCAGACTCTTTCCTTTGAACACCACGTCAAACACATCACCAAACCCGCCTTCTATCACCTCCAGGACATCACTCGCCTCCGCCCCAGTGGAGATCTCCGAGGGACGTGAAGATCTCTGAGGGATGGAAGCCAGTGGAGATCTTTGAGGGACGGGTAGACAGTACAGATCTCTGAGGGACAAGGAGACAGAGGAGATGTCTGAGGGACGAGGAGCCAGTGGAGATCTCTGAGGGACGAGGAGCCAGTGGAGATCTCTGAGGGAGGGAGCCAGGAGCCAGTGGAGATCTCTGAGGGACGAGGAGCCAGTGGAGATCTCTGAGGGACCAGGAGCCAGTGGAGATCTCTGAGGGACGCTCTGAGGGACCAGTGGAGAGAGTGGAGATCTCTGAGGGACGGGGAGCCAGTGGGGAGCCAGTGGAGATCTCTGAGGGATGGGGAGACGGTGGAGATCTCGCAACACAAGATCAGGGTTGACAGGGCCTTCTCCGCTCTGAAACTCCCTCCCCAAAACACATCAGAGACTCATCCACACTGTTTAAAAAAGCCCTGAAAACCCATCTCTTTAAAACCACCTTTCGTTAACTGTCTTTTTCTTTTGTTTGTTTATTATTAGGGATGTAACGATATCCAAATCTCTCAGTACGATATTATCATGATATGCATCTTACGGTTTACGATATTTAGAAGAAGCTGATACAGCTATGTCCAAACATAAAAAGACGTGACACTGATAATGAAACAACAAAAGGCAGAGGGAACACAGCGTATTGAAGTTTGCATCTACGTCACAAAACCACATGACCTGGTGTTGATGCTGCCATATTGGAGGTCAAACTATCCATCTGGATGAACGTGTAGTATTTGTGTGCAATAACATTTGAACTGAATAACAATGGTTTTGACCTGTGCCGCTATCCTTAGACGTTCTGGCCGGAGTCAATCTGCTAAAGAAGGAGGACAAATTATCTTTCTATCAGATCCCGGCTGATAAAGATCGCAGACAGAGGTGGATAGCGGACATAAAAAGAGAGGGATGGAGCTCACTGAGTACAATCGTTTGTGCAGGCAACATTTCATTTCTGGGGAAGGACCTCCACACAAACAAAGAAGGGATTTACACTGTCTTCACTTTCACCGCCAAGGAATCCCCCCCACCTCAGCCCTCTATTTTCACTGTCCCGGGGCAGCTACGACTCTGATTTATATGCTATATATATTTATATGCTTCTAACTCCATGTAGCTTTTCAGTTCTTGGTTGGTGTAGGATGATGTCAAATGAATTAAGTAGTTGTATATATCTGGATACTAAAGGTTGTTCACAGAGCGAGTGTTGATTAGACTGACAAAACGCTCCATCGGAATTAGATCAGGATCTATTCCACAACCAAGGAGGATGACTTTAGCTTTATACCTTTCTAATGACGGCTGATCTAACGAGCTGGCGATTTCGGACAGTTTTACGTCATTGAATTAAACCGAATAATCCCAGTCTTGACCTCCAGTATGGCCGCCAAAACATTAAATCACGTGACTGCCACATCACACGCAAATCCTTAAAGGTTGTATAGAGGATTTTTTAAGGGAAAAGAAATACAGCGACCATCCTTGTGCATGTATGACACCACCTTCCTCCTCCACAGCTCCCTCAGTAGAAACACCTGCCCCCGCCCCTTTACTCTAGAAATCACGCTTGTTTACAGCCAGTGCGTGTTCAGAATTACTGTTGAAGTGACCTGCCTAGAAGTAATTTAGCGACCGATGCATCAAGGTGTTAGACCCTTTGTCTGCTTCAGTCACACCATCGTTGGAAGGAATCTCCAAGAATCACCTCAGTTTGGCTTCGCTCCTTTTCCTCTTCTCTTCTTCTTTCAGTGACCTCAAAAACGGATTTTCTTTTGCGGCGAACTGGTCGTGGATTTTCGTCCTCCATCGCAACAAACTTTGAGCGAAATGTAAGGAACCTACAGTTTGAAAAAGCCTCTAAGAACCGCTGCATAAACCATGTAATCCCTGCATGCCGGTGAGTCAGTTACACTAGGGAGTTTGACTGACAACCTAACAGCCAATAGAAAATGAGGTTGCCTTGTTTTCTATTGGCTGATGTTTATCTGGCCTCACTATGTCCACAGTTGATAGATTTTCATTCTTTTTTTTTTTTTTTTTTTTTTTTTTTGGTCATCATAATTACAAGGCTGCTGCATCTCTATAATGGTATTTTAAACTTCCATTGACAATTTGAAACAAACAAAACAAAATCCTCCATACAACCTTTAATATCGGCACACAAGCGAACGAGACACAGGCGGGACAAACAATCAACAAACAAACAAACAACAGGTAGTAAAACTCAAAAACACACAGCTAGAGAACTTACAAAATAAAACCGGGTCAAGAATAATAAAATAATTCTGTGGAAATTAAATGAATGAAAAATGAATAGGATTTTTTCTTCCAGATATAGACCTCCCTGCCCACTCTTGAGCTTTAAGGTGAAGTTATATCACTTGTACCAGGATTACCAACCTCACTGTTCATTTCATGCACTAAAAACTCCAAGTACATGATCCGGGCTTGGGGGAAGGTCTCCAGGAGCGTCAGGACCTTCTCTGGGGGGAAGTGGACTCGGGCTGGAGGCTTTGTAAAGATCTGCACACCTGCCTGGAAAAGGAGGAAAGACAGAGTTTATAATGTAATCTAATGTCAATGTCATGTAATGGGCCTGAGGGGTGAGCGCTGGGTGGGGTAGAACATGGGTACACGAAGTTGTCCAGTGCAACTCTGCCCTCTGCTGGTCACTCTGCAGAAGATTCCAAAAAGGGCAAGTACCACAACTACATCTACAGCTGTTGTAATTAACCATGCACTAGTATATTTTTAGTCCTACCACCGTTTAGCCACTGAGTTAAAAATAAAAATACTTAAACTCATCACAGATTCTGGTGGGTAGTACTCAGCTACATTTACTTGAGTAACTTTTAAAGAAATGTTACTTTTCACAGTACTTGAGTAAGATTTTATTGAAGTAGCAGCACTCTTCTTAAGTAAAAGTTGTGGTGAAATTATTTGAACATTTGTGTTTCTTGCTCCGCTCCTTCAGAAATGATTTAGTTTGTCTCATTTTTGTGTCTGTACTTGAAAAATACCAGATTTTGTGCATTATTTAACATTTAGTCCTTCAAATTACATTCACTTCAAACTATAAATCAAATATTACATCCCAACAGTTACTTTTTACTTGAGTAATTTCTTGGACCACTACTACTTTGCACTTCTACTAGAGTTGAAGTAAGGTTACTGTTACTTGAGTACAATTTTTGGTTACTGCACCCACCTCTGATCAAATGTAATGTTAGAAAATGTACTTGGAAGGTCAAAATTTAGTTGAGTGTACTTCAATAACTTATGTACTGAATGAATAATGAATAATAGTACATACTTCAAGATACTGAAAGATGCTTTACATGAAGAGACAAACAAAGGCAAACAAAAGAAATAAGAGAGTTCGTGGAAGGTGGTTTTAAAGAGATGAGAGTGTGGAGTCTCTGATGTGTTTCCAGAGGGTGGGGGCAGCATTCTGAATGATTTTACGCTTTAAAAATAATAGATACTGTGTCCATTTTATAATTTAAAGGTCATATAGTACACAAATTTGCTTCTTGTGAGCTTTATGTCATGTCAGTCTATTCAAAAACAGACCTGGAGTTGTGTTTTGTTTCATTCACATGTTTGAGTAACCCTTTATTATTACTCTGTCTACATCTCCAAAGCTCAAAATGCTCTGTTCCACCTCGTGATGTCATGAAATGTGCTGCGCAAAATGAATCTGGTTATAGAGTGTACAGTGGTTGTGCTTGTACCTCCTGGCTGTTGCGCAGAATCCTCTCCGTGTACTTCCACACACTGTCGGCGTCCTCCAGCCGTCTCACAGAGGACACCATGAGCTCCAGGACCTCAGGGGGGGACAGGGGACAGGACGGGTCCGTGTGCACCCCCTCCGCCAGCTCCGCCCAGCTCTGTCCGCACAGGAGACACGGAGACAGACGCATAAATAAATAATATGATAAAACATTCAAGGACGCCCAAAGACAAGACACGTGTGGTCACTGTGAATGTGCAGAATCAAAGTGACAGTGGCTCAGTTGGAGTGTTCTTCCTCTGATCTAAAAAAAAGAAATAAAGCCTGGCTGTTCAAGTCAAGTGAAAATCCACGGACGCAAAGCAAAGGTTAGGCGTGTGATCTTAGCTTCCATGTGAGACTATTGTTGTTGTGTGAGTTTATGTGTGAATGGGTGACTAAATCTAAAGTGACAAAATCTTTACGCGACAATATGAAATGATCTGAACATTTAGTTTAGTCTCATTGATTTAGTTTGTCTTATTTTTGTGTCTATGCTTTAAAAATACCAGATTTTGTGCATTATTTAACATTTAGTCCTTCAAATTGCATTCACTTCAAACTATAAATCAAATATTACGCTCGACAGTTACTTTTTACTACTACTACTACTTTGCACTTTTACAAGAGTTGAAATCATTTTACTCTTACAGAATCATAGTGACAGTGACTCAGTTGGCGTGTTCTTCCTCTAATCTAAAAAATAAAGGCTGGCGGTTCAACTCCCAATCCCAACATAAGTGAAAATCCACGGAACCAAAGCAAAGTTTAGGGGTTTGATCTTAGCTCCCACATTCTTAGACTTTGACAAACTTTATTGATCCACAAGGGAAATTATTTGGACACAGTAGCTCAAATATCAATATTTTATAACAACAAAGAGTAAAAATATAAATGATAATAGCTTTGAGTGCCTCGAAAGTTAGAAAAGTGTTGTATAAATATGACCATTTACTATTGTATCCACATCACTGCTAGTCTGCCCCAGGGCTGCTCTGCCTACAGGGCTTTATAAAAAGAACTCTGACAATTTTAAAAATGGTACTATTATCATAAATCAGTATATGGAAAATTTTAAAACATAATAATGATTGCACCTTAATTTGCCTTAATAGACTGAACATTTACTTGAGTAACTTTTTAAAGAAATGTTACTTTTCTGAGTACTTGAGTTATATTTTTATTGAAGAAATAGTGCTCTTACTTGAGTTAAAGTTGTGGTTACTCTTCCCACTTTGAGTAAATCTAAAGTGACAAAACCTTTATGCGACAATATGAAATGGTTTGAACATTTAGTTTAGTCTCATTTTTGTGTCTATGCTTTAAAAATACCAGATTTTGCACATTATTTAACATTTAGTCCTTCAAATTGCATTCACTTCAAACTATAAATCAAATATAACGCTCAACAGTGACTCAGTCGGCGTGTTCTTCCTCTCATCCAAAAAATAAAGGCTGGCGGTTCAACTCCCAATCCCAACATAAGTGGAAATCCACAGAACCAAAGCAAAGTTTAGGGGTTTGATCTTAGCTCCCACATTCTTAGACTTTGACAAACTTTATTGATCCACAAGGGAAATTATTTGGACACAGTAGCTCAAATATCAATATTTTATAACAACAAAGAGTAAAAATATAAATGATAATAGCTTTGAGTGCCTCGAAAGTTAGAAAAGTGTTGTATAAATGTGACCATTTACTATTGTATCCACATCACTGCTAGTCTGCCCCAGGGCTGCTCTGCCTACAGGGCTTTATAAAAAGAACTCTGACAATTTTAAAAATGGTACTATTATCATAAATCAGTATATGGAAAATTTTAAAACATAATAATGATTGCACCTTAATTTGCCTTAATAGACTGAACATTTACTTGAGTAACTTTTTAAAGAAATGTTACTTTTCTGAGTACTTGAGTTATATTTTTATTGAAGAAATAGTGCTCTTACTTGAGTTAAAGTTGTGGTTACTCTTCCCACTTTGAGTAAATCTAAAGTGACAAAACCTTTATGCGACAATATGAAATGGTTTGAACATTTAGTTTAGTCTCATTGATTTAGTTTGTCTCATTTTTGTGTCTATGCTTTAAAAATACCAGATTTTGCACATTATTTAACATTTAGTCCTTCGAATTGCATTCACTTCAAACTATAAATCAAATATAACGCTCAACAGTGACTCAGTTGGCGTGTTCTTCCTCTCATCCAAAAAATAAAGGCTGGCGGTTCAACTCCCAATCCCAACATAAGTGAAAATCCACAGAACCAAAGCAAAGTTTACTGGTTTGATCTTAGCTCCCACATTCTTAGACTTTGACAAACTTTATTGATCCACAAGGGAAATTATTTGGACACAGTAGCTCACATATCAATATTTTATAACAACAAAGAGTAAAAATATAAACGGTAATAGCTTTGAGTGCCTCGAAAGTTAGAAAAGTGCTGTATAAATGTGACCATTTACTACCCCAGGGCCGCTCTGACTACAGGGCTTTAGAAAAAGAACTGTGAGCTCTTACAGTTTTAAAAATGGTACTTTTTTCACAAATCAGTATATGGAAAATTTTAAAACGTAATAATGATTGCACCTTAATTTGCCTTAATAAAGACATCAAAGACTTAAAAGGAACTGTAGCCTCCACCTTAGAAGGAGCAGAGTGCACCTTAAAGCAGCTTAATAGCTCACAAAATTGACAGACAATTTTCAGTACTGAATAGGGCAGGGGTTTCGGGAGCTACCAGTAACTCTCCACCCCCTTCCATGTAGTTCACCCAGGGATTTCTGAATTATACATTTTGTGCTGAATAACTCAAATTTCATCGATTAAATGCCTATTTCCTTTGTAAATGTATAATTTTGACGCCTAATTTTGTGCACTAATAACTGGATGTTTGATAGACATCGGCTAACCATGGCTCACATTTACAAAATTTCTGGAGACAGCTAAAATTAGTAGCTCTGTGGCATTTTCATATAGAAAAAGTAACTCACAGGAAGAAAAATGTTGGAGACCCCTGGAGTATAAAATTCTGAACTGGGACACACTAGAGTTGGGATGTTTGATGTGAATAAAAGTGTGAAAAGAGTGTGTAAGATTGTGCATTCTGGAATGAGTCATAATCTGAAGTACTTCTGTTGCTGCATTTTTGTTTGTTTGTTTTGCTTTATTGTCAATTGCAAACGCGGATTTCTGTATTTTACTATTTTAATGACAATATAGGCTCCTCTTTACTGTTGGCAAGGATCAGATCAGGCAAAAATTGTGATAGTCCTGGTTTTGACCTGATGTAGTCCTGGTTTAATCTTAGTTTAGTCCTGGTTTAGATCAGATTTAGATCAGTTTGGTCAAAAAATAGGGACACCTGGGACATTTCTTGTATAAAAACTGGGACAAATAAGTGGTTTTGTATAAATCTGCTGGGACAAGGGACACAGGCTCAAAACTGGGACAGCCCCTGGTAAACAAGGACGTCTGGTCAAACTAAAATCACTGTTTTAGCACTAGTTCTTTTGTTACACATTTGCAAGATATGTCTCTATTACTAACTGTGCAAACACATTAAAAACCATAAGTTTCACTGAGAAAAACCTCGTGAAAATCATTACCTGCACTGCATCCTCATACTTCCCGTGGCTTTGATGGAGCAGACCTAACGCAAAAAATCTGACATGAAATATTCAGTTAGTTTTGACCACATGCATCACTTCGATGGTGTGGATAAAACATTTGTACCTGTTGTCTTGCGTCAGCACGGGCTCGCATTTCTCCAGCGCGCACGCGTTTGGATTACGCACCAGCTCCACGAGGCCGTCGCTGTCCGCAGTTTGCACGTACAGCCACAGGAGGGCGCAGTCCACCACCTCCTCTCCGCAGTCCACCCCGCTCCTTCTCACCGCCCGCAGATACTCGATGAGGAAGCCCAGGTAGCGGCGCTGGGACTCGGGGTCCGTGCGCCAAAGCTCCCGCAGGTCCTGGGCCCTGGTTCGGTGGTCCATTTGGGAGTGGAAATCTCCCAGGAGAGTGGAGCTTAGATCGGGGAAGAGGTGGAGGAGTTCCCGGGGGTCCAACTCACCTTTACTGGAGGAAAAAAAAAAAAACACGTGGTCAATGCAGTTTACTCAGAATGACAACAGCAGCAAATATAAGCAACACTTTTCTTTTCAAATAAGGATTTACATATATGTAAGTCTTAAAGAACTGTGTGCAATTGTTTGAGTTTTAATTTTATAAACCACTTGATCTACCTGAGTTCCCAGATAATGACATTTGCATTGCAGATTTCATCTTCATGACTAAATAATTTCTCAAGAAGTTTTTACAATTAGAAAGCAGAATGTGCCTCACACGATTGCAGCCGATTATTGAAGATCCTTTATTACACAACATGGATTCTTGTGAGCCTTAAAGCCTCATCAAAAATATAACCAGACTTGTGTTTTGTTTCATTCACACATGTTTGAGTAACACTTTATCATTACTCTGTCTACATCTCTGTTCCACTTTGTCATGTCATGTAGTGACAGTTTTCAAGACAACAGCTACTTTTACCTAGTCAGGCTGGTGCCACCTAGTGCCTCAATTTCATTTCTCTCCAGCGACTAGATCAGGAATCGGAATACACTAGACAGTTTGCAAAAACCCCGGAAGTGCGAATTTGGGCACCAGCCAATCAGCGAAGAGCCATACATTCTGTTTTGGCACCGATTTCCGAGATCGAGGATTTAAAGCTGGAATAAAGAGAATGTTTGGTGAATTTTATCAAGGGGAAAGACGTCATTGCCCTTCTTCCTATGGGATTTGGGAAGAACTTAATATACCATTTAGCCCCGTTAGCAGCGCATTGCATACATCACGACCAAATAGCAGTGATTGGTTAAATAAAAAAAAGTACTCCCTTTCCATCGAGAGAACGAATCTTAATGCTGCGAGGTCAGACGGTTTGTACGAAGTGAAACTGTCTGATGAATCAGGCTAACATTTACCTTAAGTTCAGTAGAAATTGGACATTCCAGGACTCATCATCCAAATGATTCTAGTGAAGGTGTATGCAGTTTAAAAACACAGTGGAGCACTTCCTGTGTATTGCCACATGACATCACAAAGTGGAGTGTTTTCCATTTGGGAGAAGAACTCAGCCTAAATATTTTGGATTTGTGTGTTAAATGTGTGACTGAAACAAAACACAATTTCAGGTTTAGTAAAAAGATGACAGAAGCACTCTGATTTGCAGTGTATTTGTTTTTTATTTTATTTTTATCATTTATAAATACACCGCAAATCAGAGTGCCTCTGCCATCTTCCTCCTACTCAACTAGAATTCAAACGATCTGGTCTGAATCGTCTGAAGAGCAGCTCTATGTGCAAATTTTGATCTAGTGCAGCACGCCAGTATTGTCATTTTTACAACTCCAGGTCTGTTTGTGATGAGGAAACAACATTATAACAGAACTCAGAAAGCAGAATATTAATTTAATCAGTGCTACTGCAGCCTCTGCAGCTCAGTCAGTGAATTCTGCAGGTTCTGCGCTTTCACATGCCATGTTTTTTCCAAAACATAGATGTGTCCTCGATGTGCAGGTTAAGACTCTGATAACACAGGTCCAGTTGTGATTATAATATCAGTTTTAAAACAGTTAGAGTGCAGTCAACATGTGAGATATATGTCAAATGTATCCTGTTTATTATTTTATGGTTATGATGACATAAATGGGACACACTGTACATGTCACCAGTTATTTGCATTGCATTTGATTGGCATCATGTGAATCCACAGTGTTTATGTAACAGTATGTCTCACATGAACAGGTGTGTGGCTTCACTGAACCTCTCCCTGAAGAAGTGATGGAACCCAGCCTGACACGTGATGGTTTTCTGCAGCTCCTGTGACAGAGACATGTCAGGTACAAACATTATTATGACACTCAGTTACACTCAGTACATTAGCCTGTTTTCACTGTGATGGAGGCTGCGTTCTTAAAGGTGAAAAGTCTTGTCTCCTTGCACATGGCATTCTCATTAAACATGGATACAGGTCTCACAGTAAGAATTCAGTTATATCTGAGCCAAAAGCAACACCTGTAATCAAATTTAAAAAAGGTTAAATTTTTTTTGCATTATAAGTCACACTTTTTTCATAGTTTGGGTGTTTCTTGAGACTTATGCTTAGGTGCAACTTATATATTAAAACTTTCACAATGACCGTCATGAGAGGCTCTAGGCTTGTGTGTCAGTATCTTCTACGGTACCGCTGTCTCTTCTTGCGCTGCTGAAGTGACAGTGTCTGCTGCAGCAAAAGCCGTTGTCCTGCTGCAAGTAGTGAAATATTCAGCCGAAAACGGTAATCGAGCAGCAGAAAGAAAGTTTGGAGTGAGCGAGAAACTTGTGAGGGACTGGGGGAAACCGGGGATGGAGAACACAGCTTCACGGCAGCTGGAAGGGTGCACCATGTAACTTTCCTGGAAGTCACTGGATGGATCGACAAAGCCTGGACTTCAGTGACACCGAAACCATCCTGTTGGGATTCAGAAAGGTCAGAATAATTCTAACTGGAACTGATGCTGAGTCTGACGACAGCGACACAGAGGAGGAAGCGGCGCTCTGTTTACCTCCAGAGTTGCTCAGAAGTGACACCGAGGATGAAGAATGCAATGGATTTAGAGTTTTTTTGTTTTGGAGTGAGATGGAGAGTTTGGTAAACTTGTTCTGTTCTGTTGTTTATGCTATACTTATCTGAAGAACTGTTCATATGAGACGTTAACAGTCTGTTGTTCTCTGTTCTATTGTTCTTACTAGAACTTGCCTTTCAACATGAAATGTCGGTTCCTGGTCTCTGATTTTATAAAATAAATTTCCCCCAGAAAGTGTGACTTATATATGTTCTTTTCTTCTTTATTATGCATTCTTTGGCTGGTGCGACTTATACTCCGGAGCGATTTATATTCCGAAAAGTACGGTACGTGCCATAATGTGGAATAATAGGAGAGAAAAAGTGATGTCAATTCAAGATTTGTTTTTTTAAAGCCCAGAAGCCTCTCTCTCACACGCACACACACACATTGGAGCACTCATATTCAGTGTTCAGTCAGTGTGATGCTGTGCTGTCTGGGTCTAAAGCATGTAGACTATAATATAAACCTGTGGCCTGTATCCCTAAAGGGGGAAAAGCACATTAAAGTGGTTTGTATAGAAACATGGAGTCTGAATGTTATCTCACAAAAGCACTTCCTCAGTGTAGTGCCCTCTTGGCCCTTCTTAAATAATGAATAATAACAGCACAACACAGTGAGGACAGAGTCAGACTGACCCTGTGTGGATCCTGTGTGGGCAGAGCCTCCAGCAGCAGCAGCGCCTCCTCCAGCCTCTCCTCCTCCACCAGCCTCAGGACCTGCTCCGACAGAGGAGTCATGCTCACAGTGTACACCGCCCTGTCTGTGAACAACACCACTCCATCTGACACGAGAGAGAGAGAAAGAGAAGAGAAGAGAGAGAAGAGAAGAGAGGATCACACATCAACAGCAGCAGGTACAGACAGGATGAGTGAACACAGTCGCTGATGTAAAGTGAGAGCTCATACAGGGACAGACATGGCGCCATCAGGTCTTCTAGATGAGACTATTAAATATTCTCACATGAAACATACTCTGTCATTCTGCAGTTTTATTTATTCATGTTTATTAAGGACATCGCAGTCGCATTAGACAAGCCAGATGCATTGCTTTGAGTGCTAGTTTTCAAGTAGATGAATCATCAGCCAGTTTCACTTTGTGGAAACCGTCTGACCTCGCAGCATTAGAATTCGTTCGCTCGATGGTAGGCGGGTACTTTTTGATTTAACCAATCGCTGCTATTTGGTTGTGATGTATGTAATGTACCAAATTTTGTAGGAAGAAGAACAATAACATCTTTCCCCTTGATAAAATTCACCAGACATTCTCTTTGTTCCGGCTTTAAATCCTCGATCTCGAGAATTGTTCTCAACACAGAATGTCTGTCTTCGTCTACAACCATCTCAATGCTTTGTTTACTGTTGTGCTGTACCACAAAAGGGACTCAGACAGGTGCTTCAGTTTGACATCATGGCTTCGCAGCTCTTCGCTGATTGGCCGGTGCACGGTCTACAACTTCCGGGGTTCTTACAAACCATCTAGTGTATTCCGAACTGATCTAGTCACTGGAGAGAAATGAAATTAAGCGGAGGCACTAGGTGGTTTTCAACACCTGCTCACATCAAATTATTTAAAAAAATCTAAACTACATGCATAAAACCACGATGGACGAGTGCGACTGAATTGTTTGTTACTGCAGGAGTGAACATGTACAGTTTTATCTGCAGACTGAACAAATCAGACAATGAAATAATAATGTCACTCACAAATATAAGATTCAGTGAAATAAGATATCAGTCCAGTATGTGGAGACACTTGTACTGTCACTGTCCTTGTCTGTTTTTAAAATGGACCATGAGTCTGGAATAAAGATGTTGATGATGATAAAGATGATAAAAACAGATAAAAGAAGACACATCAATTTCATACAAATAAAATGTATACAGTACATTTTCCATGGATGCATTTTTTATTGGAAACAATCATTTTAATTTACTTTTAATTTTATTGTTGTTGGTTTCCAATTTCCAACAAAGCAAGAGAAATTATTTGATGCACCCACAGGAATCACAATGTAAAGTATCTTTGTTAAAGCCATGATTTAATTTATTTAAAAAGTAATTTTACTTACCATGAATTTGTATATTATTCTTCCTTAAAACCAATTATAAAAATATTATTCTTAAATTTTTGTAAATGTTCAAATGAAGTATTTTCAGTCCTAACGTAAGTTATTCCAGTTATTTGTTTTTTTTTTTCCATTTTTCATTTAAACACAAAATGGATAAACTGAAAAAAAGAATTGTTATCTGTTTTTTGGTTTTGGAGACAGATAATGAAGAAAATAGTTGTTTTTTCATTTTCTTATTTTTGGTTTTGTATTGAAAAACGAATGAACGAATGATACACGGATTGTGGACAGACAAAGTCGACCTGTGGCATCAGTAAACCACATTTCAATTGAAAAACTCAAGTCTATTTTGAAACAACAATACAGCCATGACTTTCCTAAAAAAAGGAGTATGAGGAAAGGCTCCAAATGTCAGTGGAAGATACAAAGTTTATGAATATGATGCCACAAGAGGCCACACTGAAAAACAATCACTACTGCGCAACAAAGACACTGTGATACCAAATAACTCTCACAATGCTGAACAAAGAGCTCAATATCTGGCCAGAAAGTTCAAACACAATGACAGTTTTGCAGAGGAGTACAAAACATTTATGGAGGACGTCATAACTAAAGGATATGCAGAAAAGGTGCCGTTAAAAGATTTACACATAAGCCACCATAGTACCATAAGCACAAAAAGACACTCAGAGTTGTATTGGATTGTGCTTCCTCGTTCCAGGGCACATCCCTCAATAAAGAGCTGCTCCAAGGACCTGATCTGACCGACTCACTGCTCGAAGTGCTGCTCAGATTTCGTAAATAACAAGTTGCTTTAATGGCAGAAATTGAAGGAATGTTTCATCAGGCAAGAGTGAATGAAGAGGACACAAATCTGCTGAGGTTTCTGTGGTGGCCAAATGGAGACATTAGCCAACCGCTGCAAGAATACAGAATGAAAGTGCATTTATTTGGTGCCATCTCTTCGCCAAGCTGCGCCAATTTTGCACTGGAAAGGTCGGCAGAGGACAACAAGCACAGTGTCACAGCTGCAGCGGTCGAGACAATAAAATCAAACTTCTATGTAGATGAAAAGCAGCTATTCAAGTCGTCAAAGAGCTGAGTATACTGTGTGCAAAAGGAGGATTCAAACTGACTAAATGGGTCAGTAATAGTCGTGCCGTTTTGTCTGCATTTCAGAGGAAAACAGAGCAAAACAAATCAAAGAACTTGATTTAGACTGAGATAAACTATCAGCTGAAAGACTCTGGGCATGACAGGGAATATAGAAAACGATACATTGGATTCCAGATTTCTGTCAAAACTAAATCACTTACCAGAAGAGCTGTTCTGTCCACTGTTAGTTCTGTGTGTGACCCCCCGGTGCTGGTCTTACTCTGCAAAATCTCTGTCAAATGAAGTGTGGCTGGGATACAGTAATTCCTACTGAATTGTCACAGTGTTATGGAAAGTGTCTGTCTGAATTGGAACAACTAAAACATTTTCAAGTAAACGGATGTCTGAAACTAGAAAACTCTGGTAAAACAAGAACAGTTACATCATTTCTCTGATGCAAGCGAGCATGGATACAGCACAGGCAGCCACCTGAGACTCACCAACAGCTCAGGACACGTCCATGTGGCTTTAGTGATGGGCAAATCAAGAGTAACACCCTTAAAGAAAATGACTATCCCCAGACTGGAGCTCACTGCTGCCACTCTTGCTATTTGTGTGTTAAAATCAGAACTGAAACTGCATTTAGAGGAAGCTGTTTATTGAACAGACAGTCGGTTTGTACTGAAACACATTTGAAACCAGTCACGAAGATTTCAAACCTTTGTCCTGGAAGTAAAGAATCAGTGTGAAGTGTGCTCGTTAAAACCAAGACTGGTATCCTCCAACAACCTGTGACTAAACTCGACTTGATTAGAAAATGAAGATTAATGGATGGACACTGAACTTGCCTCAAAACCAAACTTGACTGACCTGACCCTTGAAAATATTTTATAAAAATGTGAAATGTTGAAATAGAATGTAGAATTATTTATTATTATTATTTATTACTATTAATATTGTAATTGCTAGACCAGTAATTAGGGGCTGGAGATGTTAAAGCCTTAATTTAATTTATTTAAAATTTATTTTATTTATTTATGAGTTCATATTTTATTCTCCCTTAAAACCAATTATAAAAATATTATTCTTAAATTTATGTAAATGTGAAAATTAAGTATTTTCAGTCCTAACTTAAGTTATTTCAGTCAGTTGAGGTCCTTTGTTTATAGTGTAAAAGGGCAGGTCGAAGGGGAAAATTAGGTCAAATAATGAGGTCAAATAGGGAGACAGGTGAGTAGGGATCATTCCACTGTGGAGGGCGACCGACACGGTGTTTGACCGCACACACACACTGAATATCCAGAAAATCTACAAATAAAAGAAATCAAACGCACTACGGACTACTTGAGTTTTTGTATATTGATTCTGTGGGAGTCAAGAAGTGGACACCCTAAGGCCGGGCGTACACTGTGCGATTTTTGACCCTTTTTGAGCCGATTTTTCGCTCGTGCGACTGTTTTGGGGATCGGGCCGAGTTTTGGCTTCATCGTGTGTCGTGCTTCATGTAGTTTACATGGGGTAAAGAGAACCGATTAATGGCTCACGACCAGCTCCCGATCGACATTCGTAGGTCGCAAGAAAATCAAACTTGTTTGAAATCCAGTCGCCTCTCGTGAGGATTTCGCTCTGTTGAAGTTGTTCCACGAACCGATTTGCCAGAATCTGGCAGACTGCGCATGCGCGGACGCAGAAGTGGCTCAGCATTGTGTCTCCGCACATCTGTGGTTTTCTAATTCCGTGGTTTTCTTCTTCGTGGTTTTCTACTTCCGGAACAACAACTTTGACAACTCCGGTCGTTATGTGAACGTACAGTGTGAGCAGGCAAGTTGCATCCGAGCATCGGTTCGTTCAGTGTGAGAACATGATTCGTGAGCTGTGAACTGTTAAACCCTGTGATTTGGTCGTACAGTTTAAGCTGGGGCTGAGTGACACGACCGAAAATATCGCACAGTGTACGCCTGGCATAAGGCAGGCGTCTCCAACCTGAAGCTCCGGAGCTACCAGAAGCTCTACACCTCCTTCCAAGCAGCTCGCCAAGGGATTTCTTAATTTTATGTATTGTGGATAATAAGTAAAATTTGATTAATTACTGATTAATTAATTGTATATGTATAGTTTTGATGCCTAACTTGGTGCACCGATAAATTGATAACGGTTTATGTTTTATAAGCATCTAACTGTTCCCCATCTAAGGCTCATCGTGGCTCTTATATTTACTCAGTTTCTTTGTGACTGTTGAAATTAGTCGCTCTCTGGCATTTCTTTTTTTTTTTTGTAAAGGTAGCTCACTGGAAAAAAAAAAGGTTGGAGACCCCTGCCCTAAGGATGGCTATTTACATGTCTTACAGATAATGTTAAATTAGAAGCCATAACAATCCTTTTAGTTTTATATAACTAAACTATTTTTAAACTTTTTTCCTACTACCAGTCTGGACCAGGTAACACCAAAGATTAGTAAACCCTTTTTTAGGATTTTTTTTAGGGCTATTAGGCACACTTTTAAGCCTCCAACCCCATCAAAAAACGACCGCGCGCCCCACAATCCAGAGCGCCCTATACACGAATCCACTCGGGTGTCCCAGCACGACTTCAGTAAACTACAAAGCCGCACCACCTCCAGCACACGCAAACATGCACGGAGCAGACAGCGACCGCGCAGCGAAAAACACCAGCAGCCACACTCATCACTCCACGTCGACGAGGAACGGAACGGAGGAACGAACAGAAAAAGCGAGTGCAGTGTGCCACTTCTAGACACAACTGAACAACTGAACACGCCGACAATCCAGTTGGTCCCAGACAGCACCCTCCCTACACGCCACAACTGAACAAAGCCCAGAGTCAACGTGAACGCGCCAAACAAAGTCCCACTGACCCGTCCAACTGTTGAGTTTTGTTTAAAGTCTGGTGCGGTTTATTTGTGAAAAAAGTTTAAAAAATAGACCATTCAATGACAGTGCGCCTTATAATCCAGAGCACCTAATAGCCCGGAAAATACGGTAATGATAAGGCAACAAAGAGCATTTTACTTCATGGTACTTTTCTAACTACACCAATAAATATATTTATAAATAGATGATGATGAGATATGTTACACTTTTTGCTCGCCTTGAATTAAAACCTTTTTGGGCCTACTGTATGTAATGTCTTGATTTCACCTAAAACTAAATACCTGCAGTAGGCTCCATCCCCAGGGCCCCCCTCACACTGACAGTCTGCTTCCTCTGCTGGTCCAACAGGCTGTACACCGCCAGCTCAGAGTCCTGCAGGCTCAGGGCGTAAGGGGGGCACAAGCACGCCGCCAGGACCCCCGGGGACCAGTGGAGAGGCGGGCGCTGGCACATCCCAGACGCCATCACAAACAAGCCTGGAGGTGAGAGAGAGAGAGAGAGAGAGACGGAAAGGAGGAGGAGAGGAGGTTTAGGCAAAGTACCAACAAAGCAAATAGCCAACGGCGATATGGCCAAGATTCAGAGGATTATATCATGAAATGAGATCATCACAGACACCAAATCTAAAAATATGTGTCTCTGTAATCGATCTGATCTCAGGTTTGACTTCAGTAAGAACATTTCTGTTTCCTTCTTCATTATAAAAACATTGGATATGATGCCAGCTTGTTATAATTTGGTGTTTTAGTTGATAATCAGAAAACCTCTCACTTGTGTTGCCAGTTTCAATGTTGAAATCCAGCTGGTTTAAACCTAAAATGCCTCTCTCTGATCTGAATGGTGACTCCTTAAACCAAGCACCTGCAAAAACCTGGACTTGTCTTCTGTCTGCAGGTGGCAGATGGCAACACAGGTTCAGCACCTTTTTGTTTTTAAACTGAAAGAGCGCAAGCCACATATGTTTTTTTTTTTTTTATTTCAGTCATACTTAAGGCTAACTAAGGTGTAGTTATTATAACGTGGTACCATTTTTGTTTACATAGTCCATAGGCAAGGAGAAGAGGTTTAACGTGCCTATGACAAGTTAGATTTAATATTTTAGATTCTACTACAAATCTTCAAAATTGTTCACAGTTTGGTGACTTGGCAGGTTTTATGATTTTACTGAACGAAAATCGTGACACTCAGACTAAGGAATTTTATAACTGTTATATAGGAGCCATGTTGTGTGCTGGTCCATACCTCCTATAACGTACACAGAAATTTTTATTTGTCAAATACAAATACATGAAAACGTCTTTATTTTGTTGAATTAATGATTAAAGTGTTAAAAAAAAATCTTGTGTCAGACTTTTGGATAGATTTCTGAGTCTCCCTTGTGTGATGTGTAGACTCTGTACTACCTTTTATTTTCAATGTATTTTTAAGCTTTCACAAACTGCTTTTTGATTTGTGTAAAACTATATTTTATATTTGCAACATGTGTGCACAATCCCTCAGTCGTCCAGGTAGCATCCATGGCAAAAGTAGAAATTCAATTTGTCAACTGGACAAAAGTTTATTTAGTCAAATATTTTTCATTTACAACTGTAAACAAGTTGTGTGTTAGTTTCAGAGTAGTTTCAGTGTAGTTAGCTTCAGTGTCCAACAGCGTCTGACCAGAAATGAAGAAGCTTGGAGGAGCTGCGAAACGTATTCAACTAAATAAACTTTTGGCCAGCTGACAAATTGAATTCCTCCTTTTCCCATTTACAACTGTCAAAATATGGCTACGTTTATATGATGATGGTCTGAACAGAAGATGTAAAAGTGGCGTCGCGTCTTCACTTTTTATTCCACGTTTAGACAAGCGTTTTTGGGAGGAAATCTGTGTGTATACGGTGATGCAAAAGTGTGAAATTCGATTGGGTATGCATGCTAGGCAGCTTCGTGGTAACGCTAGGTGGTGATGTATGTGACGCAAATGTGTACGTGACGTGAGCAGATCTGACCAGAGTTTTGCGTCTTGGACAGTGTAGACGGAAACTCTACGGTGGAGCGTATTCAACTTTTCCACCCTGGAGTGTGGTTTCAGATATTTGCGTTTTTAAGCCCCAAAAATGCCGTCACCGTCTAAACGAAAGGCACTTCCGAGAAAATATTTTTTCGTTTTTTTCCCGCAAGCGTTCTCGTGTAAACAGGCCCTTAGAGAATCATTAAAACCCTCGAGACTTTTCCTGTGACATTACTGCATTAGATGACTTGAGTTGTTTGTGTTGTTACCTAGTCCTCCAGGTCCATTGAGCAGGAACTCCCCTCCCCCCACAGAGCTGACCAGGACCTGCTGTCTGCTGTGGCCGTGTTGGAAGAGCGCCTCCCTGTGGCCGGTCGTCAGGTCACACAGGAGGTACTGTTCACTGGTGCCCACACATGCACATGCGCTGCACACATCCACTGCCAGCTCTAAAGGCTCCTGAGCCAGCGGGATCTCCTGAAAACAGAGACATCATGATAATATCATTATTATAGATCACAATATAATGGTAAAAACTGAAAACAAATAAGAATGGGATATTTAGAAGCAAAAACAAGCTCATTTTAATTCAGTACTATGTTTTTTGGATTATCCTTGATGATGATGGATGATGGACAGAAAAAAACAGAATAACGCCGCTTCCTTGTCTCCCTGGAAATGTTATTGTTGCTTTGCCTTTAATTCCACAATATTCTTAGTAACCTGGAACTTGAGACCTGGTGGAGTCACCTGCTGGTCTCAAAGGAGATGGACGGGTTTAATACTATACTGTGGAACATTCCAGGCAATACAAGCACATCCCATTCCAGGTGGTGTACCTGCCTACCTAGTGCCTCCGCTCAATTTCATTTCTCTGCAGCGACTAGTTCAGGAATCAGAATACACTAGACTATTTGCAAGAACCCTGGAAGTTGTAGACCGCACACTGGTCAATCAGCGAAGAGTTGTGAAGCCATGACGTCAAACTCAAGCGCCTGTCTGGGTCCCTTTTGTGAAACAACACAACAGTAAACAAAGCAGCCAAGATGGATGTAGACGAAGACAGACATTCTGTGTTGGCAACGATTCCCGAGATCGAGGATTTAAAGCCAGAACAACATGTTTGGTGAATTTTATGAAGATGTTATTGCCCTTCTTCCTACAGGATTTGGTGTAGGGATGGGCATGATTAATCGATTAATCGATAATTGATCATTAAGAATTTCATCGATTACGTTCATTTTAATCGACAAACCGAATGTAGGTTGCTGTGCGTAGCGTGACCAAACAGGGGTCCGTACATGTAGCTCTTTGCACTCAGAAGGAGCGAGACACAAACAGTCGGTCAGTCTGCAACGCAAATGCGTATTTAACGATGATTTGTACAAGAAATTCCATGCTTTCCGTTGCGTTCGGGACAAGTGTGAGTCCATGTGCACAGTGTACAAAGCAGCACATATGTTTCGGTGTCCAGTGGGAAAAAGTTTTGCCAGGTGAGAGTCGCGCAGTGTCGATGACGAGTCCCCACCTCCCACGCCCCGTACGGTGTCCTGGTTTTGACAAACGCAAATCTGGTCACACTAACCTGTATTCCACTGAGTCATGTCTTTTAATCCAACAGAAGTTGACCGCATCAGCGACACAAGAGCTGTAGTTTTATCTTCGCTTAGTTTCTGCAAATTAGCGATGCGGTTTTAAGTTTCGTTTTTGTGAGAGTTGCTCAAAACTGCGTTAAACACAATATAATCTCAAACGGATTGATGTGGCTCTAGAGTCGTTACGGTTTATATGTCGTAAAGTTGAATTTATTTATGCAGATTAGTAGTGCAGATAGTAATAATAATGATGATCATTTTAATATAAACACGTTAATGATTAATCGATAATCGATCGTTAATTCTTCCGACGATCGATTAAGTAAATTTCATCGAATGCCCATCCCTAATTTGGTGCATTACATACGTCACGACCAAATAGCAATGATTGGTTAAATGAAAAAAGTACCCGCCTACCATCAAGCAAACAAATCCTAATGCTGCGAGGTCAGACGGTTTCCACAAATTGAAACTGGCTGAAGATTCAGGCTCGTACCCTGCACCAGAAAAGTTAAAATGCATATGACATGTTTTCATGTTTTGTCTAATTATGGCTTGGTTTGGTGGGATAGGTAATTATTTCTCATACTTTTCCATCAGGTAAGTGGAAGTTTGTGAAGAAAAATTGTTGAAAAGAAAAGTACAAAAATACAGGAAGAATCTACACACACTGAAAACTTCACTCAAAATGCAAGGAATTTAAGGAATGATTTAATTTTTTTTCCACCTTAACCTTCATTTAAAAAAATAAAAGTGTTGGTTATTTTTAATAGTCTAATCAAAACTATTCTGCATTTTTTGTTGCTAGGTAAATTATGCGATGAAAAGAAAAAAATATATATATAAAAATCGAACACCTTAAGGGATTTCTGTGTAATTCTGATGCACAATAATTATAAAAAATTAAGCATTACGAAATTCCTTACCTTCAAAACATCCCATCGATCTACTTCTACAGCCAGCACCCTGATCACCCTCTTCTGACTGGAGCACGTGACCATCTGCACCGTGTCTTCTCGCTGTGACACCTCAAACTGAGAAACATTCTGGATCTTCTTAAAGCTCGCGTTGGTCTCCAGGGAGAACATGTTTAGCGTGGTGACGGCGCGGTTGCTAAGGGCGAGCAGATGGTTGTAGACCGGAACGAGGCGGATCCGGGCGACAGGAGAGCTGGAGAGTTTCTTCACCCTGGCCTCTTTGGTGTAGGTCTGGCAGGAGCTCGGATGAACGTTGGTGGAGATGAGGAGATGGTGGACGGTTCCTTGTTTGGTTCCCATGTAGATGTTTGGGTGGTAACATTCTAGACACTGAATACTGAATCTGTCCTTGTCTCTTGGATCTAAAGTTTTCTCGTAGACGCAGGACAATGTAAACGCGTTGATAGACATGGTGGAATTTTGTAGTGTTTTTAGATCAATCCAGATGTTCACTAAAATAACAGAATAAAAAATATATATGTTTAGTGAGTTTTATGACCAATAACCTACACAAAGCTATAAAACTTAAAGGCCTTGTACCATGTTTTTAAGCAAAATTTGTCTTACATAGAGATTTATTGTAAAAGCAGCTCTTAAGGTAGAAATGAGACAGCTGTTTTCTGAACTTTATCGTCCCAGAATCAGGAACTGTTTGGTTTGCATGCTTGCTGTTGTGAGCTTTACAGTTTCCATTGATTTAAAGCCACAGAATGAAAAAGCATGTTTCTAAATAATGTTTTTATTGCACTGAAAAACATGCATCCTGAATGTGACCGGGCTTTTATCTTGACAAACCTGACTCTTTATCTGCTTGTTTCCATGGAAATGTTCCTTTGGCTGTAATCTTCCACAGTATGGCAGAAAAAATGCATACAATGTCCTTACTCCAATAAACAAAAGGACAAAATGGCTATGCTAAAGTTCAGCATTCTTTAGAGATGTACACCAACTATTACCTTTTTCCATTTGTACACTGACCAAAAAGTCTGCGATAAGAAACTGGTGTCAGCTGTTATTTCTTAATGTGTTTTGGTTTAATTTTAATATAGAGTATATATTATGCTATTTTTTGATATTTTTTTGGAGTTAACACTCCAACAGGGTCAAGTTAAACCTGCGATATTCTTTCAAGTTGTTGACAACATTTTTTAAAAAGCTCATGTCGGTAACGGAGGGAATGAAATATGCAGCACTTTTTGGGCAATAAATACAAACAGTGATAACTCTTGGTTCTCACTTACATATCCTTAACAAACTGGTTTGAATATTTGCTTCATATAGTTTTCTACCATATGGTACAAGATTAGGTTGAAAAACCTCTTACTTTTTGAGTAATGAGATTTTTTATTAAGAAAGGTCATGGTAACAGAGGGAAAAGTAACGGAGGGAAAATTGTGCAGCAAGTAGAAGGTGCAGGATTTTGCATAATTTGTCGCTTTTTTCTTCCGAATACTTTAATATTACTTCAAAATGAAAGGTAACTATTTCTATAAAATATGTCAGTCCTTCCAAGCTAATTTTTATCATTTTAAATACTTTTTTTTTTTTTGGAAAAATCATGTACCTTCATCAACAGTTCAAAGATGGAATAACACAAGATATGATGAAATACATCCATTTATTTACATGATTTGCAGGTCTTTGAAATTTGGGAAATAATTTTTGTTCCATGTTTCATACATGGTCTGTTGAAAACGTATGTAACTTTAGAACCAAAAATGGTACAGAAAAAAGATAAACAGTTTCATAAACTAGAGTACATATGTATCTGTTATACATACATTTTTATATCAGATGCATTAACTTGAATTTTTGGTCTTGCTGTTTACTTCTGCTTGACCGGGCCCATATGCTCTAATGTTTCCTCTTCAAAAATGCACCTTTGTTTCATTCACACATGTGTCACTCACAAACCCTGCATATTTAGACTGAGATATTCTCTCAGACTGAAAACACTCCACTGTTTCTCCTTGTGATGTCACATGGTGATACAGACAGTGCTCTGCTTTGTTTTTAAATGCCATGCGCCTTCACTAGAATCAGTTGGATGATTTCAGCCCTGGAATTGTCTATATCTACTTAACTAATGGTAAAAGGATCTGTTAACTTGAAAACTATTGCTCAAACAAAGCACAACTCCAGACTGAGGAGGTAACAGCATTCTTAAAGCTCACAGAAGTTAGTTTTGTGTAATATAGGACCTTTAAACATTTCTACTATTACATTTATTCTAATATCCTTCAACCCTGGTGTCTTACCTTGTGTGGCTCCTCTCGGTCGTTTTACAAGTGCAGTTTAAAGCCTCCCCATGTGACTGCATCCTGACAGGAAGTCCAAGTCAGCATTTTCTCTCACTCTTACAAAACCTTCCAAGAAACACACTTTAACCACCAAAACAAGGCAGAGTCCAGGGCTGCGGTTTTGGTCACTTAGAAATGACCCTTGGGTGTACCCGTAGCTTTATTTTGGGCGTAGCTGCTGCTCTGGGTGTGAGGAGGAGGACAGCGTAATTTGGGGGTAGGGTTTTGGAGACAGTAGTTGAGGTCACGTACAGGCGAGTGCTTGTGGTTGGTGCGTGGGGTTCAGAAGGTGAGAGGAAAACCTGGCATTTGATTCCCTGGTCCAAAGAGTCACCAGAACGGGGTCGGTGAACTTATAAAACTGCGTGGAGGAGATAGGGTCATGTACTTTTGCATGCAATGAAAGAAACTCTATCACAATTAGATATTTGGAAGTTAAATTTAGCTAGTATTAAGGTCCTTTTATTTTGTCACGGCCCATAAAAAAGCCATAAAAGAGTCATATTTTCCAGAATCAACTTAAATGACCTTTTTAAAGAGGGGTTATTATGCAAAATCGACTTTTTGGAGCTTCCTAATGTGTTTTGACCAAAATATTGTTGAATCGTATTGTCAAAAGTTTCACAATAATATCGTGGGCCATCACAATATATCGAATTACAAGTTTGTTTGGTTAAGTTTATTGTCTTGGTGCAGCAACAGCTAAAAAACAGATGGAACTACATAGACCATGATGCTTTGCTTTGTTTCAGTGCAGACTACATGAAGAAATAACAGTTTTAAGCACTTTTAAATCTTAGTTTTTTGGATTATGATAGTACCAAAGTAGCATATTCATAATTTTGTTCGCCTCCACAAAATACAATAAATATCATACAGAGAAATCCGTTTTGTTAGTTATAACATTGTTCCGTCATCAAAAACATGCCTTAATGGGTTTAAGATCCGCCTGATTCATCAGCCAGTTTCACTTCGTGGAAACCGTCTGACGTCACAGCATTAGGATTGATTCACTCGACGATAGGCATGTACTTTTTTAATTTAACCAATCACTGCTATTTGATCGTGACGTATGTTAGTTTTTTTTTAAGTGATGCAAATGTCCGAGTTTTTATTGCCTTTCATTGGGACATTAAACTGACCAGCTCTCGTAGTTCTCTGTGCACTCAGAAGGAGCAAACAGACACAGTCGGTCAGCGTGCAACATGCCGAAGCACAAATGCGCATTTAACAATGACTTGTACAAGAAATTCTCCACAGCTTTAAAAAGAAAAAAATGAAAGCAAGTTTATATTACAATAGTACCTTTTTATGATCTTTTTATGTTCCACCATAAACACATATAATACAGTAAGGCTCTTTGCAGTTCCTACAACAACAATAGTGTTTATATCTGCTTGTCTCCATGGGGATGTGTTTGTCTTGCCTGGAATATTCCACAGTACTGTATTAAACTTGTCTTTTGTTCATTTATTCCATTACAAGTGTTTTCACTGCTTTAAAAATACCATGAAAAACTTATTCTTAGACAGTTTCATTTCTGCTTATCTACATGGAGATAGATTGGTTTAATGCTTCACCGTGGGACATTCTAGGCAAAGCTATAACAGCTCCATGGAGACAAGCAGTTGGCGGACACAAGAAAAGTTACACAGCGCGTCTTTAAAGGTAAGAAATATATGACGTACGCTGTTTTCTGATCTGTGTTATAATGTTGTGTCCTCATTGCGAACAGTTTGTCTCTCAAACAGGAAACACTCTGCTCCACCTTGTGATGTCATGTGGTGATACAGGAAGTGCTCCACTGTGTTTTTAAACTCCACACACCTTCACTAGAATCATTTGGATCATTTCAGCTCTGGGATTGCCAATCTCTATTGAATTAAAGATAAAAGGTAGCTGGTAACTTAAAAACTACTTAAAAACCATGATCCAAAAAAACCCCAAAAACTACTGCTTCATGACATCACAAGGTGGAACAGAGCATTTTGAGCTTTGGAGATATAGACAGACTAACAAAGAATTACTCAAACGTGAGTGAATGAAACAAAACATAACTTCAGATTTGTTTTTAACGAGGTAACAACAAAAGTCAATTGCGTAATATAATTTTTCAATGCACGAAACAGCCAAAATGAAAAAAAAAAACAACAACAAACAAGCTTGCCTTTATTTTATTGTATGTTTTGGCTTAAAAGATACATACTTTGACTTTAAAATGATATCGAGATAACAGTCTTGTAACCATAGCTACAGTACATTACGTGCAGTTACTTTAAAGCTGTTTCTGTATATTGATTTTAAACTCATTCGGACACAGTAAACGTAGAACCAAGGCCACCGTTGATCGTTGCTGTTTTGTACTTTGACCTTGACCTTCTCTTCGATGCGTTTCATAACTCATATTTTCCATTTTGCGTTGTCAAGGAAACGGTATCATGAGTAATAAATCATAACGACGCGCAATCTTCTTTTGACCCCCTAAATGCATGTGCAGTGGGAATAACATAACACTATAAAACACTGTAAAGTAAAATGGGAATACTTTCATGCGTAAAAAAAAACAAAACATACGGGTCATTCCGCGCCAAATCGCCGAATGCCCCCGCCCGACCATCTCAGATTTGACTGACAAAAATTCTAGGAGGTTCACACACTTTCCAATAGGAGGTCTCAAGTTTTAGCTCCCAACACGTTAAAGTTTTGTCATTAAAAAATATTTTGTCAACTCTCCCTGACCTGTTTTGCGCCGAGTTTTCTGAGGAACCACTTTCAGATTGCTGTATCTAAAAAACTATTTAAAGTAGATCCTTCAAATTTTCAAGGGTTAAAATTTGGCAAATGGGCTTGTAGAATCTGGACTTTTACACATGTGCTTTTGGTTTATCACAGATTTCTGGGGGGTTAAATTTGCTTGAAAATTCTACTCTTCAAATATGAGTGTATTGAAGGACTGTGGAAAGTGCAATTTCAAAGACAGAGTTTTGATAGTGAACATACACCTTCCCACACACTGTGTACTTTATATTTTAAAACTGACCCTCTGTGATGAACGCTCTACAAGATATTAAGTGTTAAAAATGGAAAAATAAATTTGGTGCCATCTTTACCATGTTGACAGCACCCACCAACTGTTTTAGAAAGACTAGATGTCTCTTTTTAACATATCCAAAATCTGTGATGGTGTTCTGCCTTATTTTTGCACTTTCAGAAGACTGTGAGTGTGTTAACCTCCTAGAATTTTTTCAGTTAAATCTGAGATGGTCGGGTGGGGGCATTCGGAGATTTGGCGTGGAATGACCCATATAGTAGTTTTGACTAGTTTACTTGTATTTGAAATTATCTGTTCAACAAAACACAATCGAAACTGCAATTTGGAGAGCTTATCAAATTGCTATTAAAGTTTGCAAATAGTTAGATAATAAAACAAAATAACCAGCCTTTTTATAGACATTTTTGTGCCTGTAGTTTAGTACGGAAGCCGAGAGGGGTCATAACAAACGCCGCAAAAAATACAAATGCCACAACCCAAATGCAAATGCCGCAACACATTAAAAAGCCACAATGGAAGTGACCGCGGGACTCTATTTTCCGACAGACCGATCAAACAGCAAGTGAAGAAGAAGAACTACAACGTAAAGGAACGGAGAAGTTGGAAACGTAAGTAAAAGTAATTTATTGTTTTATCATTATTCGTTTCACGTTGTAGTTCTTCTTTGCATTTGAGTTTGTGTCGTGGCGTTTGTATTTGTTGCGCCGTTTGCATTAAAATAGAGTCCCGCGGTCATTTCCGTTGTGGCTTTTTTTGATTTGTTGTGGCTTTTTGTTGTGTTGTCGCATTTGTATTTGTTGCGGCGTTTGCGTTTGTTGTGACCCCTCTCGGCTTCCGTAGTTTAGAGCTCTACAAACATGTTCTGAAATGCATGGAAATCTTGTATTAGTTTATCAGTTCCTATTTCAGTCTCCTCTCAAATGTTTACACTCCTGGAGTTATTTACAATATGTGCTTTAATGTGCGAATCTACTTTTTTAACATAAATCGAAAATCTAATCACAATCTTAATACTTTTAAAGAAGACCTATTTTTGCTTGTGTCTGCTTTATAGCTTTAACCTATAACACCCGTGCATCATTATGTCATCATTTTGACATTTTAAAACACAATATACATCTAAAACGACTTCATAAAAGAAAAAAATAAAACAAGAAACATCATCACAACGAAAAGTCAGCACCTCTGATAGATACAGCAGCTGCAGAACACACTAGCAGCAAGCGACGCTGATGGAGCGGTGGGCGTGTGCCGTATGGCTTCTATAAAGTAAATCTTACATAATAGTTCTGCTTTGACTATGTGCGCTCTACTCCGCTCGACTTTTTTAATCAAATCGAAAATCTAATCACAATCATAATACTTAAAACTATACACTATTAGAGAAAATAGTGCAGTCCTATTATCTGAGGTATTTATGAATGCATTAGTCTTTTATAGTTCTTTTCTAGATACTTAAATCTGCATCACAATTTCATGCATTTTCCATTCACACAGCAGTGGTAAATTACAGTACCAAAGTAGCATATTCATAATTTTGTTCACCTCCACAAAATAATCGCAATAAATATCGTACTGAGAAATCCATATCGTGAAAATAATGTATATATAGATTGAAACATTGCTATATTCCTAGTTTAACATTGTTCTCTCATCAAAAACATGCCTGAAGGTGATTTAGATGTCATCCATGCATGTTTGCGTCATTTAGCGATCTCTCTCTACTCAAACTCTCTTTACGGTTAGCTGTAAGATTCTGTCCAATGTTTCAGTCGCTACTGTTGGGCAAGTTACTTCAAAACTGTAATGTGTTATTTATTACGTATTACTGTCATTTCAAAGTAATTTGTTACATTACAACATTACTGCATTTAAAATGTAAGACATTACACGACTATTGCATTACTTTTAAGTTACTGTCGCCAAAATAACTGCGAAGATTCTGAACTTTTGTGCCGTATATGGACTGAACCAGGACTGAACCAGGACTGAACCAGAACTGACCCAGGTCTAAACAGCATGGAGTTCTGTGTCTGTCCTTTCGCCCACGGTTACCTGGCGGTCTATGAGGGCGCATCTCCGGCGTTTCACCTCTGCTAATATTGTGGTGATTTTAGCAAATTTGTATGAAGAAAAACTCACCAGTCCAATCCTGGTTAAAATGCATTGTGACACCCATTACTGACATTTGTACCGAGTAAAATATTTAAAAAAATTTCCCCTGTAATGCCTTACATTACTGCGTTACAGCAAAAATCAATGCATTACAGTAATTTGTTACTTTTATAACGCGTTACTTCCAACACTGATTGTCTTGTGATGTTGCTCTGAAGGGGGAGTGACTTAGCGCAAGGAGATGTAGATGGACTAATAAAAGCTCAAACATGCCTGAATGAAACAAAACACAACTCCAGGTATGTTTTTAACAATGTTTAACAATGACTTTAGGCTCACAAGAGTCTCAAACATTAACACTCCTGGAGTTATTTACAATGTGCACTCTGAATAGAATCTACTTTTATACAGTACTTCTGTAGCCGCAGCTGCCCTGACTTCAACGAGGCTGCCAGGCGGAGCCATCGGCCGTTTCATCCACTATTACTAACTCGCTCACACACCATACTATAAGAAATTGCATTTCTGTGCGGTACGGAGGGCATAAATTTCTCTAACACACATCATTTACAAGCATGATAGGTGAAGTGCTTTGCCCAAGGACACAATGACGGGATAATTGGTTTGATGCTTGTATTAAATTGTCAACCTTGCACTGTCCCAAGGCAGGGCAGCGTGCAAGCAGAAAAATGAATCGCCCATATGAATAAGAATAAAATACACGTCAGGCATCATACTGCATATATCCGTGGATTTCAGACTGTTGCCATAGCGATTAACAATTCAAAACAGAATATTTTGAATAGGAAAAAGTCCTCAAAATGTTGTAACAGTAAGCTGAAACCCATGAATATGTCATTTTGATTGAAAAGAAACAAAACAGCACAATATCTTCAATAAAACATGTCTAATATTCTAGACATCAAGGTGAAACGTGAGAAGTTCTAGCAAATATCAATATATTTTTTTATAGTAGTCAAAAAGAAAACTCTTGATCGTCATAGACCTTGGGTTACTTTGGTGGTTACTTCTCACATGCAATAAACAGCACAATATCTTATACTTGTAAAATATTCAAGACTTCAAGGCGAAGTGTGAGAAGTTTTAGCTAATATTAATGCATAAACATTTTTTTTTTTTGTGTTCAAAAGGAAAACTCTTTGTCATCATAGACCTAGGGTTACTTTGGTGGTTCTTATATGCAATAAACTACACAGTATCTTTAAACATGTCAAATATTCTCGACTTCAAGGCGAAGTGTGAGAAGTTTTAGCTAAAATCAATGTTCAAAAAGAAAACTCTTTGTAGTCATAGACCCAGGGTTACCTTGGTGGTTACTTCTCGCATGCAATGAACAGCACAATATCTTAAAACATGTCAAATATTCTCGACTTCAAGGCCAAGTTTTAGCTGATATCAATACACAACCATTTTGTCAAGATGTACAAAAATACGCGTCGTCATGTCTTCATAGACCCGGGGTTACTTTACAGGCAATAAACAGTACAGTATCTTAAACATGTCATAATCTAGACATCAAGGTGACAGGAAATGTAAGAAGTTTTAACTAATAACAATACGTAACATTTTTTTGCGGTGTCTGAAAATAAACTTGTATGCCTCCATCATCATAGACCAGGGTTTACTTTGGCAGTTACTTCTCACATACAATAAACAATGCGTTATCTTAAAACATCGTACCATAGTCTGGGCATATGATGAAATGTGAAAGAAGTTTTAATTAATAATACATTTTTCCTTGTTTGAAATAAAACCGGCATGCCTCCAGCGTCATAGACCCGGGGTTACATTGGTGGTTACGTGGTTACTTCTCGCGCCCGCAGTCGGTGCACAGGATGTTGTCTCTCTGGGTGAGGAAGCCCCGCCCCACCAGCGACACGGAGCACTGCATACAGGTGAAGCACTCACTGTGCCACTGACGCTCCTCGAACGAGATGTACTTCGCCCCCGCGAGGCCTGGAGAGGGAGTGCAGGGAGGGGATAATCAGCGCACATGATTTTTACCGTCTTAAAAACATTAAAAACCAAAACAAGATCATTTTAAACTACTTTTTGTGGTTCAGTGTTATTTCTCACATAGTTTATGCATTATGTGCGTACTAATTATTCACCATAATGTGTGCAAGCCAAAAGCAACTAGCATGCTAACTGCACAGTTCCTAATGATCAGACAATTAAAAAAAACATAAAAATGGAACAAAAACAATGGATTATTTTAATGTTTAGAAGAAACCCATTACCTCTGCCAATATTAAAGGTCCCATATTATATATGTTATAATTTTTTTACCTCCTCAAAAACAAACTTGGAGTTGTGTTTTGTTTCATTCGCACACATTTGAGTAATCCTGCATTATTAGTTTCCCGTTTCCGTGACTTAAACTGCGATGCCGGACTTTTGTGCCGCATATGAACTGAGCCAGGAATAAACCAGGAATAAACCAGGAATAAACCATGACTGAACCGGTCTCAGTCCCGGTCTGGTCTCGGTCTCAGTCCCGGTCTGGTCTCGGTCTCAGTCCCGGTCTGGTCTCGGTCTCAGTCCCTGTCTGGTCCTGGTCTCAGTCCCAGTCTGGTCCTTGTCTCAGTCCCGGTCTGGTCCCAGTTTCAGTCCTGGTATTAGTCCTGGTTTTTTCCCGGTCTGGTCCCGGTCTCAGTCCCGGCCTCAGTCCTGGTCTTACTCCTGGTCTCAGTCCTGGTCTGGTCCCGGTCTGGTCCCGGTCTTAGTCCAGGTCTCAGTCCTGGTCTGGTCTTGGTCTGGTCCCGGTTTCAGTCCAGGTCTGGTCCCGGTCTCAGTCCCGGTCTCGTCCCAGTCTCAGTTCTGGTGTAGTCCTGTTTTAGTCCTGTTTTAGTCATGGTTCAGTCCAGAATCTCAGTTTAAGTCACGGAAACTGTAAACATTATTCATTTTTTCCATTATTCATTTAAACATAAAATCAAAACTGAAAAAACAAATCGTTACCTTTTTTTTTTTCATTTTGTTTTTGAAGACAAATAATGAACAAAATTGTTGTTTTTTTCATTTTCTTATTTTTGGTTTTATTTTGAAAAACAAATGAATAAATGATACACGAATTGTTTTTGACCAGGACTCAACATAACATAACTCAGAAAATAGAGTAATATGGGCCCTTTAACCTGACTAACTCCACATCCCTATCTGAATCCTGATTGGCTGAGCTCTGTAGTATACTCACTGGTGATTGGTTTGGTGCAGCCCACACACTTCTTGGCATACAGATTACTGAAGCACTCCAGGCAGTAGGGGTAGTTCTCTCGGGAGGTGAAGCGTTGACCTGACAGCTGTTTCCTGCAGCTGATACACAGGAAACACTCACGGTGCCACGGCTTCTCCTGGTACGTCACGCCCCCTGTGGTGATGGACTGAAGGGGGCAGCAGAGAGGCTAGTGAGTGACCTGGACTGTTTACATACAGATCCAAATGTGTAAAAAATAGTTGTAGTAAAACAGTAGTATAAATAATAATAAATAATAATAAATAGTATTGTAGACCTAGACTTTAAACTTTAAATGGTAATAATAAATTCTAAATAAGTAGTAAACATAGCAAGAATGTACATATACAAGTAAAAATAAAATATAAAGTATATAGTAATACAACTGTATCTCAGCTATATACAAGACGATGTAAGGAAAAATTGTGCAAAGGTGAAATAATGATTGACAAGACATAAGGTTATCTGTTACATAACTTCCAGACCGACAAGTCAATTTTTAAATTAAGTTATTGTATATTTTATAACAACAACAACAACAACAACAACAACAACAACTACAACTACTACTACAACTACTACTACTACTACTACTACTACTATTATTATTATTATTATTATTACTTAATTTATTTTGATAATTAAATATATTTGCAAGATTTCCTGGTCGTTGGATACAAATCATGGTGGGCTGCAGACTAGATGTTCTCTCTCTCCATATATATTTTTTTTCACATATATATAACTTGTAACATGTAATTGATAAAGCCATTAATAAAAAAAAAAGAAGATCTTAATGTGAATCTTAAGGTAGACATATTACATTGTCCTTTTAAGTGATTGGGGTTTTGTGTTCTTGGGCAAGACAGTTTACCCATCTGCCCTCTGTGGACGTGTTATAGACCTGTCTGTTGGCATATTTTTTGTATGAAAGTTCCTTGTACAATTTACAAAACACAAACTCACTCAAAACTGGTCAAAAATAAAAACGGGAAAAGAAGAGCAGACCCTCCCCTTGCTCTTTGTGGATTATGCAGTTCATTATTCAGCTCTTTTCAGTGGCGTGTGGGTTACACTGAATAACCAGAGTCATGGGATTCTGTGCTCCGCTCGATAAACTCATCAAACATTCAGGCTGCAACTCTACGCTGACAGGTGCAGCACCGGTGTACAGTTAACCTTTTTCCTGACAGGCGCAGCACTGATTTACAGGGGTGTGCCTAATTTTTACTGGCACAGCACTGGTATAGGCCTACTTTCTGACAGGTGCAGTAGAGGTTTAAACATATCTTCTGACAGGTGCAGCAATGGTGTAGGCCTACATTATGACAGGTGCAGCACTGGTTTAATGCTACCTCCTGACAGGTACAGCACTGGTATAGGCCTACCTTCTGACAGGTGCAGTAGAGGTTTAAACATATCTTCTGACAGGTGCAACACTGGTTTAGGTCTACTTTCTGACAGGTGATGTAGTTGTTTAGACCTACCTTCTGACAGGTGCAGCACTGGTTTAGGCTTACTTTCTGTCAGGTGCAGTACTCGTTTATGCTTACTTTCTGACAGGTGCAGTCGTGGTTTATGCCTACATTCTTTTTTTTTATTTTTTTTTTTTATAATAATTTTTATTTGCAAACTACATAGATTACAACAAATAGGAACCAAACAACTTACAAGATACAAGACAGACATTACAGACATTACATTACTGAACATTACATACAAATAGGGACAAAGATGACAGGGGTTGGTGACAGTGTGAACCTTATGTGTGTGTCTGTGTGTGTGTGTGTGTGTGTGTGTGTGTGTGTGTGCGTGTGTGTGTGTGTGTGTGTATGTGTGTGCATGTGTGTGCATACGCGTGTGTGTGTGTATGTGTGTGCATACGCGTGTGTATGTATGTGTGCCGGGGGGGGATAGACAGGCTATGCGGATGATTTAATGTTGACCTGTATTATTGCTATTTAATTTGAGTATTGAAAATTTGTTAAGTGTGTGTTGGCATTTTGCCTCAGATCCCCACTCAAGTGGGAGCAGGCCAAGCCACACCCACGCCGCTCAAGGCAGGTGCGGGGGCCACCCCCAGGGCTCCGCATGCGGTTGCCCATCGACCAGGCCGGCCCACCCCCCAATGAACCACCTCCCGGTCTGAATGCTCCCCCTCCTTGATATATATGTACATGTGCATACATTCACACGCCACATGCATCTGCACAGGAATGTGCACGCACATCCACATACACACAAGCCTGCACACATACTCGCACAATTCACACACATAAACCCACATTCATCCCTGGTTGACTTGTGATGCATTAAAAAAAAGTTGGGTGTGATGCATTAAAAGTATCAGGGAGGTAAGGAGCTTGGGGGTAGACCAGAGAGTGAAGCCAGCACAGAGGGGAGACCCTGAGGGGACGGGAGAGCACGCCACCGGGCACCCGTAGGCGGACCCCCACACCCAACACCCGGGTGACAGCAGAGAGGGCCCAGCCCGCTAGGGACGCTAGGTTTACGCCTACATTCTGACAGGTGTAGCACTAGATTAGACCTACTTTCTGACAGGTACAGTACTGGTATAAACCTTCTGGCAGGCGCATCAATGGAGTAGACTTCCTGACAGGCGCACCCCTGGTATAGACCTCCTTACAGGTGCAGTAGTGGTATAGACTCACCTTCTTGCAGGCGCAGCATTGGTAGGCAAACTGCTTTTCGAAACAGGCCACGCAGAAATATCCGGTGTCTTTGGGGATGAAGGACTTGGTGCCGATGGGCTGTTGGCAGCGGTGGCACAGGAAGCAGGTCTCGTGCCAGCTGTGCCCCTTGTACTCCATTTTACGAGAGCCTGGCACAGGAGAGGAAAGGCGGGTCGGAAACGTGCAGGTGCCAGGAGGAACACTGTGGTGCGTTTGTGAACCTAATGTCTCTGTGAGTTTGTCTGAGTTTATTTGGCCCGTGTTGGTGCACAGACTCAGTGATGGGCTATTTTTATCATCAGGTCTGTTCCTCCATGTGAGCTGTGACACACATGAAGAACAAACAACATCTAAGTCCACAGAACGTCCAAGTCCAGAGAACATCTATATCCACAGTTACCATGGTTGATAATGACACACAATAATACGACACTTTACTCTGTTCCAGTGGGTGGAGTGTTGTAGTTGTTGTAGCTCATGTCCATAAGTGTGTTTGTGCCATCAGGGTTTTCAAGCATTGGGACACTTTGGGTAGTAGTATGTAGTAGTAGCAGCAGCAGTAGTAGTAATTTTTGTAATGCAGAGCTATAATGTATTTATAGTAATAATAATTTAAGTGTATTCATAAGGTGGAGGCTTTAATATAAGCCCTTTGTTTTTGTTTTTTTACATCTTCTACTTTTTAACTAGTGTGCTTTTTAAAAATTGTTACATGTAGGGGTGTAACAGTACACAAAAATCACGGTTCTGTACGTACCTTGGTTTTGAGGTCATGGTTCGGTGCAAAATCATTTTAACATTATATAAATGAGAAAATAAAATAAATGCAAAGTGTTGCTTGGTAATGCTAATAAATTAAATAAAATATTCTCAAATAAGCAACAAATGTATGAAATATTATTTTTTTTAATCCTTGTAAACGGCGAAAGGCGATGTACATGTACCATTACACCCCTAGTTGTTACTTTATTGTTAATTAGTAGTAGTAGAGTAGTAAGTGTAGTAATAATAGTAGTGCTATTAATAGAGATAATAGATAAATATGGCCAAAGCTCCTTCTCTCATCAGATCTAAGAAGCTAAGCAACACTTGTGTCCTTAGGCAAGACACTTTTCCCACAGTAGTAGTAATAGTAGACATTAGTTACTAATGTCTACTAATGATTACTACTAATGATTAGTAGTACCTGGCATGATGGTCTTCTTGCAGGTGGCGCACTTGGAGGAGTAGTCGTGGGCGTAACACTCGGTGCACAGGAGCAGGTCGTCCTTGGCAGCGAAGGCCTTCTCCACGAGGGAGCGGCTGCACTTGGCGCACTTGAAGCACTGCTCGTGCCAGTGACGGTCCTTGTACGACAGGTCCTGAAAAACACAATTTGCATATTTTACCTCCACTTATTAACAACAATTCTGGCATTGGGTATTAATTAAGGGATTATTGTAATCACTTCTGTAAGAACATTTTAAGAATCATTCTTAGAAAAATCTTTGTTCATTAAAGGTTACGTGTTTCTGTTATTAGGTGTAATTAGGGTGCTCAATTGTTTGCACCTGGTCTGACCATGAAGCACTGAACTGGAAATACAACAAGTGAGCAGATTTGTGCTGTTAAATAAGTCCTCCAATTTGTATTAAAATGAAATTTTTACGGAAGCCCTGAGCGTCATGAGAAAAAAAAATATATATATAAATAATAATATTGTCTTTTTTTTTTTTCATTTTGAACCAACCAACTTTAAAGGTCCTATATTACACAAAACTGACTAAACCAGGACAACACCAGGACAAAAACATTACTAAACCAGAGCTGAACCAGGACTGAACCAAGTCTAAACCAGGTCTAAACCAGGCCTAAATCAGGAATAAACCAGAACTGAACCAGAACTGAACCAGGACTAAACCAGAACTGAACCAGGACTAAACCAGGACTGAACCAGGTCTATACCAGGACTAAATCAGGAATAAACCAGAACTGAACCAGAACTGAACCAGGACTAAACCAGAACTGAACCAGGTCTATACCAGGACTAAACCAGGTCTAAACTAATAATAATAATGCATCAGTTTTATATAGCGTTTTTTTTATTTTAGACACTCAGAGACGCTTAGTGTAAACTACTATTGTAGCCACAACTGCCCTGGGGCAGAGTGACTGAAGTGAGGCTGCCAATCTGAACCATTGGTCCCTCCGACCACCACCTTCACTCACGCACACACCAGTTTCGTACTAGGCAATGTGGGTGAATTGCCTTGCCAAAGGACACAACAACAGGTTTTTTGCAAAAAAGAAAACCAAGAATAAACCAGGACTAATCTTGGACTTGAGAGCGAGAGAGAGAACCCTGAGCCAGACGAGCAGGGTGTCCACTAAGCATGATCGGGCCACTTTCTGGTTTAGTCCTGTTTTAGTCCTGGTTCAGTCCTGGTCCCTCATGTCACAGGTCTCTATCATGAGCCTATGCAGGTTGCTTTCACCAGTGCCAATGGTTCTGGTTTTACATTTAAATCGTAGGCTATTTTATATTTATTTTTTTTTATATAGGGAGGAATGGGCCCCCCGTACCACGCCCACTGCAACCCTGATTAAAACATAGATCAGAAAATAGCGTAAAATGGGCTTTAAAATGTCCGCTGTACTTTTAATAGTTGTGGTAGTTTGAGCCAAGAACTATTAGCAGGGCTTACACTTGGAAAGACCCACAATCTAATTCATTATGGATACTTATACCCCCTCCCACCTTCCCTTTCCCCCTCTCCTCTCTCCCTCTCCCTCCTTCTTTTACTTTCCGTCTCTTCGCTGTAGGCACCTCATTGTATTCTATAAATGCGTCCGAGTCGACCAATCACGGCGCACGAGTGTCTATCGCAATTCTTTCATCACCGGGTTTCTGGTGCGGAATGTAAAGTGGTACAGTGAGGTTATTTCTGGAAACTCTCTCAACCTCTGCATAATTCAAGTACAGACGAGTTACACACATGTTCAGTCCGATCACATTTACCATTCCAATGTGTGCGCTGAATAATGTAGGTTTAAGACACAGATAGGCGAGTGGCGCATTGCCTCTTGTATGTTCTGCTACAGGGGTCGGAAATTACTTGATACTTGGAACAAAATGTACTTAGGAGTAGGTAGAGTAGTATTAATTTGAAGTACCAATACACAATTTGCGGCCATTCTCGTTCTTCCATTATTGAAGTGAAGTGTCTTGCTTAAAGATAAAACAATGTGGTTCGCTGGGATTGAGCTAATTAAACTAAGATTAACTACTCCACACGTTTAAAATTTCCATTTTCACCCACCCCCTATCTCCACCCACTCCACTATATTTACTTGCAAATATATTTAGAGTTAAAAAATGACACGTAGCCCCTTTTAATAACAATAAAAATATGTCCATTTCAATCTGTTGGTTGCTACTGTTGTGAAATTCCCTTATGAAGGGGCGGGGCCAACAGGAAGTTTTAACAGTAAGTCAACAGACCTGTTTCTATTATTAACTCATTTACAATCAGTATTGCAGTTTACAATTAAATAATTAGACTCAATTAATAATAATAATACAAAATATTCAAACAAAAAGCACAGTTGCACAATTGTCCGATCTATGTTGTATAATATGTTGTTGTATAATATGTTTCCTAATAATGTTTTCTCATCACAAACACACCTGGAGTTGTATTTTGTTTCATTCACACATGTTTAACACCCTGCATATTTAGGCTCCACCTTGTGATGTCATCTGGTAATACAGACAGTGCTCCTCTGTGTTTTTAAACTTCATGCGCCTTCATTAGAATCATTTAGACAATTTCAGCCCAGGAATTTCCATTCTCTACTAAACAAAAGTTAAGACACAACGAAATCCAGGCACTCCAAAAAAGTAAAAGTCGCACAAGGAAAAGTATAGTTAAAAGTAGGGCTGGGAATCATTAAGAAATTGCTGATATGATACATACCTTGATACAGAGCACTTTTGATTCGATACGATATATACAGAACAATAAAACATAAAGGCTAAATCATGGCTGTGATACTAACAGTCTTTGTTAAACCACTTTCTGTGTAAAGTTCATATGAAACACAAACATTTTAATCATCAAAACAGTGAAAATGTCAAAATGTCAGCGTTTCCTTCCACTAAACAAGCAACAAAACTGTAGTGCTGCAAGAGAATAATTTAGTAAAATATACCCAAAAATACTCTTGGCGATATATCGATACAGATATTGATACTGTATCATCACATTAAACGATACGATATATCAATATTGTGATATTTTTGCACACCCCCAGTTAAATAAAGGTCTTTTAACTATACTTTTCTTCATGCGACTTTTACATTTTTTAGTGCCTGTGTCTAAAGTTTTGATCCTTTTACCTGTTCTCACTGATTGAAAAACCTGCAGCAAACAGACACATTTTTGTTTTTTCTAGACAAAAGTTAACTTGAACACTACCACTGCATGACATCACAAGGTGGAACACAGTATTTTGAGCTTTGGAGATGTAGACAGACTAATATTAAAGGAACAAAACACAACTCTAGGTCTGTTTTTGAGGAGGTAACAACATTAGAACATGTCTTAAAGCTCAACAAGAGCCCATTTTGTGTCATATAGGACCTTTAACATCACATCACCACTAACTTTGACACATTTTAGCCACAAAAATCATCAATCTCTCTAACTCAGGAGTCCCCAACCTGCAGCTTTTGAGCTCTCCTCCCCCTTCTAAGTCACTCATCAAGGGATTTCAGAATTATACCATTGTGCTGAATGACTAAAATTTGGTTATTGACATGCCTATTCCCACTGTACACCTTTGTGCACTAATAAATGAACCATGGTTTTGTTTTATAGGCGTCTAACTGTTCTTATAATCGATATAATTTCTTGCAGCCGCTAAAATGAGTAGTTCTTTGGCACTTTTATTTTGTTACGGTAGCTCACCGGAGAAAAAAGGTTGCTCTAACTCCATAGCGCTTCCTTTCCTTACCTTACTGTTGCAGCCAATGGGAGAGGAGCAGCCCTCGCAGCAGTTCGCGAACAGGTTCTCGTAGCACTTGGTACAGTACTGCGTGTCCTCCTTCATGATGTACTTCTTCCCCAGCAGGGAGTCTTTGCAGTAGTGACAGTCGAAGCGTTCACTGGACATGGCTCTAGCTCTTTCTGTACCTCAAAACACGCTGGATAATGACAAAAAAAATACCCTTTCAAACCTAAAATTGCCTTCCTTTTGTTGCTCTTACAGCTACAGAAGTGGTGCTGGCTCGGGGGGGATGCGTGGTAAGAATAGACCCGTGCAGAGAGCTCCGGAGCTGGGATGAGAAGGTAGGATTAAGGGGTACTGTCCACCGGGGGGGTCAGCTATAAATACGAGCCCCCTTATTAGCGCCGACCCCTGGGGAGAGTGGGCATGCTCCTCTGCCTGGTACTGCACCATTTAAGGGAGTGGACAGGGCCTGGATCACAAAGGCTTTGGTGCACTGTTGGGATAAGCCTGTGGGGAAATAGAAGCAGAGTTTTAAAAGACACATCATGGCGAGGCGAGGATAACATGTGTTGAGAGCTTGAGACTTGTACTTGCACTAAGTTTTTGGTTTGGGGTCCGCCCCCTCCTGGTTTCTATGGATATGTCCCGCAGTATGACATTAAACGGATCTACCTTACGTTTATTCTCTTGCAGGTGGTGTTATAGCTCAAAAATACTCATAAAAAGAGGCATTCTGTATGGTTTAATGCCATACTGTGAAACATTTCAGACAAAGCAATAACATCTCCACAGAGAAACGCATTTGATAGACTCTCCAACCCAAAAAATTACACAATGCACCATTAAAATCTCATAATATTTGGAGTTAAAACAGTAAAATTAGTTTTTTAATTCGCTTTTAATGGTTTTCGCTCATCATTACCTAACTCAGAGTTGTATTTTGTTTGATTCATGCATGTTTGAGTAATCCTGAATCGGTGCTTGATATTGTTGCGTCTCAAACACGGCCGTCCAATCAGATTTGTTTATTGCAGTGATGCACGTGAAACAAAACAGCTCATTGGTCACTCATTATTTTGAACAAAATCACATTCTCTCACCTCAGATGAACAGAGTTTAGTGCCTCGCTCATTGATTCTGCAGAAATCCGTGATGTTTTTCAGTCCCTTGTGATATTTTTTGTCATTTAATTTTTCCTCATAAGCAGTCATATTTGTTTTGTGTTGTTTGTTGATATGGATGCACGGCATGTAGAGCAGTAAGAGCTTGCAGGGGCACTACATGTATCCTTGCAAAGTACTGATGTAGTATTTGGCGGTGCAGGGTCGTTTTGCCAGCACAGAATCCCCCCACCTGTCCTCGTTTCGCCGGGGTGGGTGGGGCACATCAAAGCATCTGTGTGTAGGGGACCCGGATGACAAACTACGGCTCTGAAGCTCTGAATCCTCCTGTCAATCACACCCATCTTAACTCAGAAGTTGCGTTGTCCTGCATTTGAGGCTTGAGGGCTTAAAAAATGTCTCTTTTCATGTTCACCCCAGCTCCGCCCACTGCTCTGTATTTACTCGCGGTTATTAAAAACATTATGACACATTCTGGGTCATACATGTTAGGTCATATAGGTCAAATTTTTTCAACAACACATTAATGAAAAACATGTAAATTAAAGGTGCATTGTGTAACGTTTCTGCTGAAGGGTCCATCAAATGCTTTTCTCCATGGAAATCGTATTGTTTTGTCTGGAATGTTTCACAGTATGGCATTAAACCTATCTAACCTATTCTATCTTCGTGGAGACTAAACCAGACCAAGTTACAGGTCAGATCTGTGGAGAGGCGAACCCGCTCACAGTCACAATGTCTGTATTTCTAGGTATTTTTGAGCTATCAGACCACCTGTAATTGAATAAATCTAAAGTAGAACTGTTTATGTCACACTGTGGAACATTCCAGGCAGAGCAATGACATCTCCATAGAAACAAACAGGCGACGAACCCTCAACCAGTGCACCTTTCCCCAGTGAATAAACAGGGCTCCTCAGTTCTGCAGTTTTGAAAAGAAAGTCTCTGAACCTGTTTGTGTACAATAGGTCAGTTCCTCACATTGCCCATTGGAAACCCACCAAGACGCCCCCATAATCCAACTCCAAAGACCAACACCTGTCGGTCTAACTCGGGACCTTCTTGCTGTGAGGTGTGAGTGCTAACAACCCGACCACCGTGCTGTCACCGACGCTCTCACGCTTGCATTTTACATTTACATACTCCGCTACCAGTCATTCTTCCTTTAATAGCGACAGCAATATTATTTGTGGCCTTTGTCGTGGGCGCACAGATGGTTGGTGGGGCGCGGTTGCCAGATACTGCGGTCCAATGCCAGCCTCTGTGGTCCCTGGCAAAGCATCACAGCAGCGGGCAGTAGCACCAGGTTCATCATAAACAGAAAAAGGAGCAGGTTTGACAGTCGTATCCAGGCTTGTGGCGTATTGTGTTGCGCCGGTGTTTAGTTGTGTCCATGGATTGTCTGTGCATATGCTTGGCTCAGACCGCAGCAGCGTGATTGACAGTTGGCTAATTGCTGTAGAATCTCCGGACATGTGCGCGGATCGGTTTTCTCGCGGATAAGAGCCCGGACAACTTCATAAAAATAGCCCAGGAAGAGTTGCAGAGGAGAGGGCGTAATCCACACACAGACCGCGGGAGGGACTGTCTCGTAAATTGTCCACTCCGCTGAAGTCCCCCAATTTCTTCCAGTGTCCAGCTGTGTCTCTAACCTCTCACCAGGCACTCCTTAGAGGCGAACAGTTGGGTTCAAATGACACTGCAAGACTGTACAAAACCTGTAGTTTAAAGCAGACAGCGAGGAATTGACTTTTCAGAGCTTTGAACTGTATTATACTTGTTTCTTTTCACCATTTACCATCTTAAACCTTTACACCTTTACCCTTACATCTTACACCATTTACCCAAGTTGTATTTAGAGTGATTTATGCATGTCTGGCAATCTTCAATCACTTGAAGACACCATTTTGCAGTTCAATCCCTGTTTTCACTGCTCCCAGTGTACACCCACTGCTCTGTACTTACATTCTCCAATTAGATTTTCTTAATTCCGCTCAATTTCAATCCAATCTCAATTCTCCAGCGACTAGGTCAGGAATCAGAATACACTAGATGTTTACAAGAACCCCAGAAGTTGTAGACCGTGCACCGGCCAATCAGTGAAGAGCTGTGAAGCCATGACGTCAAACTCAAGCGCCTGTCTGGGTCCCTTTTGTGGAACAGCGCAACAGTAAACAAAATGATCGAGATGGATGTAGACGAAGACAGACATTCTGTGTTGGCAACGATTCCCGAGATCGAGGATTTAAAGCCGGAACAAAGAGAATGTTTGGTGAATTTTATCAAGGGGAAAGACTGTATTGTCCTTCTTCCTACGAGATTTGGTGCATTACATACGTCACGAACAAATAGCAGTGATTGGTTAAAAAAGTACCCGCTTACCATCAAGCAAATCCTAATCAGTCAGACGGTTTGCATGAAGATAAATCGGGGTAACACATAGGATTTGGCAAATGAAACAAAAAACAAAAAAACTCTGTTACTTGCAAGTGCAGCTCTCCATCAGAGGACTTTTTGTTGTGATGATGTTTACAACGACATTTGCTCCCATTGGGCACTGCAGTTTTCTAATATAAAAGTCAGCAGACTTGTCTCATTTTAGATGAATATTGTGATTTAAAATGTGCAAATTATAACTTAATGAACTCTGGGTGTCATAGATTATAACTACATTGCAGACACAAGCACAATAGGGCTTTTTCAAAATTGCGCTGGGGGACAGGTCAGGATTCTGTGGTCGAATTTGCAGTTTGAAAGTTCTGTATTTGAGCAAAATGTCATATTTCCCAGTACAGATATAGTTTATTAGCAACATGTACTATCTGCATCTAATTAGAAAGCCTTTTATTGTTCAATAATCAAGAAGTGTAATATGCTTTTTGCCAGCTCTGCCCTCTGAAAGTTGTGAAAAAGCATTTATAAACTCATCACGGCGAATAATTAGGATGCTCAGAATGCAAAAGGTAAATGAGGTGTAACTTTGGACCACTGCAAGCTGTTTACAGTGAATTGCATTTTGAATTTTAATGAGGCTCCATGCACATGCCCAGTAGAATTTGACTATTCTACTATGAACCAATTAATGTTTACATGGCTCTGAGCAAATGGGTTCAACTACTGGGACCCGGCCTGAACCTGAGCACATTTAAATAAATATGTGGAGCGCCACTGCAGCTGGTCATAGTATCTGCAGGGCACGCCTCATGAACATACAGTTTTGTTTGCATAATGTGTTTGAAATGGCCTATGCACTCTTTGAATATACCACACATAGAAGCTTTTAGTTTGAGTTAGGAACTAAAGCACTGAGATCATGGAGCGAAGAGCATGTGACACAGCAGCGTGTAGGCGTGTAGGATGTCTCTGTCCAGGTGATGAGCTTTGTCTTTGCACCGTGTTTGCCCGTTGGAATCATGACCTGTCGCGTTCAGGCTGGAGCATCGTTTGTGTAATTTCAATGAGTACCGTATTTTCCAGGTTATTGGGCGCGCTCTTAAGCCTCCAACCCCATCAAAAAATGATTGCGCGCCCCACAATCCAGAGCGCCCTATACACGAATCCACTCGGGTGTCCCAGCACGACTTCAATAAACTACAAAGCTGCACCACCCACAGCGCACGCAAACACACACGGAGCAGACAGCGACTGCGCAGCAAAAAACACCCACAGACACACTCATCACTCCACGCCGTCGAGGAATGGAACGGAGGAACGAACCGAAAAAGCGAGTGCAACATGCCACTTCTAGCCATGACTGAACTGAGTCACTACGAACACGCCGACAATCCAGCGGTCCCAGACAGCACCCTCCCTACACGCCACAATTGAACAAAGCCCAGAGTCACTGTGAACGCGACAAACAAAGTCCCACTGACCCATCCAACTGTTGTGTTTCGTTTAAAGTCCAGTGCGGTTTATTTGTGATAAAAGTTTGAAAATAGACCATTCTATGACAGTGCACCTTTTAATCCAGAGCGCCTAATAGTGCGGAAAATACGGTAACTATAAAACTATTCATAACGCGTCTGCTCCGTGTGCCTTT